CCGGACCCGACGCCGTTCCAGTAGATGTTGTCGCCGTGGCTCAACACCCGGCTCGGCGTTGGCTTGAGCATCGCGGCAGACATGCCCATGAGCTCGGCAACCCACTTCTGGGCATGGTAGTCGACAAGGTACCGCGGCATGGACGTGTCGACCTTTCCTGCATTCGCCCCTTTGCTGTACAGCTTACAGCACGAGCCAGGCGAGCTACCGTCGTTGCCGCGTCCTGTCAAGATGGGGTAAAGCGGACGGTTCACGACAGAGGATACGAGCAACGGACCTGTGGTGCTACCCCAATCCCCGATTGCCAACATCGTCAGCGCGGCCACGTCAGTCTCGGGGTCGACGAGCACCGAGGTGCTGGCGGTGGTGGGAACGGTATCGGCCGACGTCGAGTTACTCGTCTTGCCAGAGGACGCACCGTTGTTGGAGGTTGGTGTTCGGGTTCCAGACGACGACGACGTGCCTGCAGCGGTCTTGCCTGATGTCGAGAGCACAATGGCTGTGGCAATACCCCCTGCGATGAGCAAGACACCGATCGACGCCAGGGCTATTTTCATCACTTTGCTTCCTCCAGTTGAAGTGGCATCGTCGTAGCTGAATCGTTCGTCCAGGATGGGAATGATGTCTGTGTCGCTGATTCCAGACGCCTCGTGCGCATCTAAAGGTTCTGTCAGTCACGTCGTAAAGTGGTCGTCCATCCACGTACCTGGTCGCTTCGGCGGCATGCTGCTGGAGACGTTTATGTGCGGTGTGGTTGATGTGGAGGGGGCCGCGCGGCAACGGAAGGACTCGCGATGGGAATGGTCAGGTGTCGTGCGTACAGTACGTTGTCCCTGGGATGTTTTTACGCCAAATTAGCCGACTATTTTGACGGAAACCATCGAGATGTCGTGTTGGGACTTCGACTTGGAATGATATGCACGGGACGAACGTACTACTACTTTGACAAAAAATCCTCGATATTTTATAAAAAGTTGATTGAAAACGCAAGTTGTTCACAAGGTGCCACAAGTGTTTCTGCAGCAACGTGAAATGCTCGCCTTCTGCGATCTCGACCAACTCACGACTGCTGCACTCTAGAGGGAAAAAAGAAGCATGCGCCAGGGAGCCGCTGGAGTACGCGAAAAGCGCCACCACATGCGTTTGCCACTGCGACGTACGCCCACCCTGCTTGCAAAAATGGGTCAGAATCACGAATGTGAATGTCTTTGCCAAGACGAGTCTTGGCATCCAACAAACGCTATCGTCGATACTAAGAGTAATGTTGGTACGGCACTCATGCAATAGTTGAAAACATGCTGGAAACTTTCACGACTGTGCTTCAGACAATAGAACAGTGTAATGAATGAATGATTATATCCAAAGTTTATTTCTCGGAGTACTCACAGGGCTCACAATAGTATTCACTCCGGTCAATATATTTTTAGTGAATATTTGGCATAGGAATAATGTATTCTATTGCATTGCGAGTTTTAGGATATATTTGACATGTCACAAGGTATTGTTCAGACGTTGGAACAATAGATTTTGGGAATTCAATACTACTTCAAAATACAGTACAAACGAAAAGTGCTTCAAGCATTTTGTATTATTTTGATAAATATTCGACATAACTTACAGTAGTCTTGTGGATAACCAGAATTGCAATCGAAATAGCGCATCAATACTAGTACAGTATATTGCAATTTTGAGTAATTATTGCAGCATGTACGTCCAAGCAGTGGGTGTGTCATAGACCGTTGAAATCTCACAATTCGAAGAGTCGGACCTAACATTTGTCACGACACGAAGAAGACTTCTTCCTCGTTGCATAGCGGCATTTTTTCGTTCGTTCAGGGGATTTTCGTGGGTATCAAGCATTGCTTATACCAGTGGTTTCCAGTAAGTGTGTGAACACATTCAACTGAATTTCTTCTACGGAGTGTGTAGTAATACTACATCTTCGTTAGTAGATAACAAGTACATAGTATGCAATGTATTGACAGGGCATTTGTATATAGGGATTTTACCACCTTCCCTAAGGAATTTCCTTGTCGAATATTGCCCTAAGCAGATCAAAACTTGCCCGCACCGCTAGGACACCGCCGTTCCGCCGCATTCACTGAGTCCTTCCTCATCCCGTCCAACGTCATGGTAACGTATTCCCATCGGCAATATTGCGACTATTGCATCACGATAAGCTCATGTTCGTGGCGTGATGTAGACTGCGCTGTTCAACTTTACTGGTATGCTGACAATGGTGCTGCTCATCATTTGCACATGCACGTACATCCGCCTCAAGATGCCGACGATTTTCGACCGAGGGCAGTTGCCTGGGAAACACGAAGGATTCACGGGTTTGTGCTGGAAGGCATCTCGCATCGGAGAGCGGAAGAGCGAGTATGTGGCTGCCTTGCTGTTGGCAATGGCGGTCCACCGGTTGTTCTTTGCCGTGTAGGCTCATACAGAATGCAAAGTCTCTTGATATCCATCATTGAGCACAAACCGTCGTGTGTGTACAATGCATGTTACGACTCTACTTCCCTGACAGCACCACATGCGCTTGCTTGGCGACTTTCTGTCGCTTGTCCAGGGTCTGCATGCGCGCGACAACGTTCCCCAGGTTCTTTTGCTGCATGAGTTCTTCCTTGATCTGCTTGAGTCGCTTCTCCTGTTTCTTCTTGCCGGGGGTGTGTCCATGGAACCGGTACGAGATGCGGCGGAACGCTTCTTTCTTGGTCAACAAGCGACCAAACTCGTCGCGGTAGTCCAACTTGACTCCGTCCTTCACTTGCAGTTCGTCTTCGATGTGCTTGTCACGGTGGTCGTTCGCACGGCCCGCCTGGCGCACCTGGACTGTCTCTTTGAGGTCGCCGCGATTGCGAAGGAGCGCCAACGTTGCCGCCATGCCGGTCTGCACGAGAGGCTCTTCCACCCCCCACGAGTTTTCATCTTCGCTCTCACTCTCGTCCTTCGTCTCTTCCATGGCAATGTCGTTGGACTTGTCGTCTTCACTCAACTCTTCCTCGACGGTCACCGTCTTTGTTGGTCGAGCCGGCACCGACGACGCCCCGCCGACAGCACCCGCGGCCGACGCCGCTCGGGCAGCTTCCCTCTCTTCGAGGGCATTCTTGACGCGAACGTCGAAGTCCGTGGCTTCGCTAAACACAATCGTTTGGATCGGTCCGTGCGATGCGTCACCACCATGAGGCACCGCGCTTTCTTCTTTAAACGCCGAGATCTGTTGCAGCACGCGTAAATCGTTGGACGTTTCCGACGACGACGTGTCTTGTTTGGCTTTGGCAGCAGCCACGACGAGCGCCATCCGTCTCGATCGCGCCAAGGACTCCCCGAGCTCTTCGTCAATGTCTTCGACCGCGACGGGCTGCTGCTTCATGCGGTCCATTACGGTTTTCACCTTGTCGTTTGCGCGCTGACGGGCGAGTTCAAACCGGTTTCGGCGGGTGATTTCGTCGATTGCGACGTCCGACGGCTCCGCCGACCGCTTGCCATGATCGGCGGGCTGGTTCCTCGATGCTTCGACTTCGAGTTGCTCGACAAGCGATGCCGTGGTCTCCGTGTCGTCGTCTGCGTGATGACTTTGACGCATTTTTTGCTTCTTTCGGAGTTTCTTGGACTGTTTCTTTGAAAAGACGGCCATTTCGGACGCCGTAAAGTACTCCTCTATGTGCTGCTTCTTATGCGATGCAAGCGAGATCGATACAGGGCCGTCGTCGTCATCGCCGTCAACTTGCTGGGACTTAGCAGGATGCTTGGGTTGGACTTGATGGACCCCCACGTCGCCCAGCGCAAACTTCTTGGATTCGCGAAGGGCGGCCAACTCCTCTTCTTCGTCGTACTGCGCCAAGAGCCGCACGGGCTTCCGAACGCCTTTTTTCGACCCCCCCAAGATCGTCGTGAACTCGTCGTCGTCGAACCCGCTGTACACTGGTCCGGTCGCTTTTTTCATGCGCGCATCCCGCTCGGCGCGGCTGTCGGCTTCACGCAAGTCAACGTTCTCCAATTCATCGCTTTCGTCGTTGACTCCGCTGCGGTCATCGGTGAGCACACGCTGATCTTTAAGCGTTAAGATGACCTCGTCCCCTTCCTCGAACGCGTGGGCGTCGTGAGCCACTGTCAGACCCTTCAAGTCAGCTGCATCGTACTTGGCGGTTGTCGCCGCCGATGTGGAAGTTGCAGGAGCGATCGCAGGCGCTTTCGACGTGCGGCTCTGGCGCACCCAGTCCAATGCGGACTTTGGTCCTTCACTCCGCAATGCCTCACCGAGACTTTGGCCCTTGAGCTTTTCCGTGAATTGTCGCTTCTGTTTCGACTTGGCCAACGCGTCCTGCAGGGCTTTCTGCCGCACCTCCTCCGCGACATCCTCTCGCGATTTCGACAAATTCACTTCCTTTTCCTTAGACGCATTCGTAAGGCGAAGCGGCTTGAGCCCCATCGAAAGTCGGAGTTTGTTCGTTTCTTCGATCGTCATGCTAATTTCACCGTTCTTCTCCGTTGTCGACACTTTCGGCGCGGCAGACGAGACGCCACCCGAGCTTTTTCTCGAATCGATCGCAGAGGTCGAGACCGGGGGAGTTGACTTCCCCTTGTTATTGGAGCTATCGTTGTCGTCCGTGTTCTTGCGAACCCGCTTCGGACGATGTACGTCGCGTGGATCTTTCTCGAGATCGCGTCCTCGTTCGTGCTTTCGGCTGTCATATCGGCCTCGACTGCGAGATCTATGCCGGGGCGGACTTCTACTTCGAGAGCGATGTCTAGGCACAGGACTCCTGGATCGATGTCGTACCGGACTCCTGCTTCGCGCCATGTCGAGGTGATCAAGCGGCCGACCTTAGAGTGGAGTGGCCCCCGTTTTTTCTCGTTGGAACGAGAACCTGGGAAAAATGAATAAAACTACATAACCTTTTCTCAAAATATGCTAAAATTTGTCGAATCCGACCCTGAACTTTCGCCAAAACGACGATACTTGGCTCGGTGTTATTAAAAACGACAGAATATTTTGAGATATTGACGACTTTGAACGAATCAAATGTCCTTTTTTCGATGTATTTTCAGCTTTTCCGCATATCGACGACCGGCAATTCGTGGAGCAAGGCGCACATTTTCGATCAGGAACCGCCGTCATGCACGCGTCTTTGGCGCGGCATTGCCGCACGCACCGTCACCACGTCACCGCGATTATGGGGCGACAAGGAGTTCCATGTATGTTGATGTCCACGCAGATCCCTCCACCAAGTCCTCGCTCTGGCATTTTCAACACGAACTTTGACGTGACTCAACCGAAGCACCAAGAACGCATGGAGAGGTGGAAGTGGGTGCTCGACCTTCTCGGGTACTACAATGAAGACGCACGCATCAGCAGCAACTCTGCATTATTGTACCACAGCTGTGTCAACCAAGCCGCGCACCCGTCATTCTACCGTGCGCTAGACCTCCCGACGGATTTTCGTTCCCAGCAAGCCTTGCTGATGGTACACGTGTGGATCGTCCATCGCCGACTTATCTCGGTCAAGTCCTCGGGCAAGGACGATCCTGGCAAGGTTCTGCAGGAAGCGTTGTTCGATCGACTGTGGGAGGACACCGTGTTCCGCATTCGGCACCAAAACGTGTCAGAGTTGACTGTGAACAAGCACTTGGGAGAAGTCCAACAGCGCTGCTTCGGCCAGTGTGTTGCATTCGATCAGCACTACAACGCGGCTGGTTCCAAGACTGCCCTCAACGACGCCGTTTCACGCCACGTCCTCAATGTGGAACCGCATGCCAAGCCCAAGCAGGCAGCGCTCTTGGCGACGTATATCCAGCGCGAGCTCAAACATGTCCAAAAGGTGTGTCCACTCGCGATGCTCTTGCTCATTGTGCTGTCACATGTAGGCGAGAATGGAGGAACTCGAATCCGGTGCCGTGCCTTGGGGCCCTCCGCTTGCAGCCAGCACACGCACGGACGCGACAGTGCCACAGGATGACTACGACTTCGACTTGATCGGGCAACAATACGGCGATTGGCGTAGCGCGTTGGACATCCGAGGCAAGAAGTATTTCTGGAACAGCATCACACGGATGTCGGCGTGGGAGAAGCCCCAGAAAGCAGGGCACTAGATCGTTCAGCCTACCTCGTTAAACTCCATGTATCCACGATGGTTGTCACTTCCACACTGTTTCGCCGCCCATCCATGAGCTTTGAGTAGTCGACCCTTCATCATATCCATGCATATTCATCGTCATTCCGCGTGTCTTTGAGAGGCATCTTCAGGCGCTTCCTCCATCCCTCAAGAGTTGCATAATATTGCGTGCGCTTGAAGCCAGGACGATGTAGTCTGTTCGCCTCCGCGGGATTCTCGTACATCACGTCCGCGGAGACGACCTCATGCTGATCCACGCACTTGGGGACCTGTCCTTGCTTGGCGGTAAATACAGGTGCGGCGCCTCGAGAACGAGCTTCCCGCGCCGCGTCGGCAACCGCGGCATCACTTCCTAAGTTCAACCAGATGCCGGACGCCGTGTCCGGATACGCAGAACGATTCCAGGGATGACGCAATGCAATTTGATTGGCTTATGGACAACTTCCGTCGATCTGATTGGCGGATTTCACATCAATTTCCGCCCGATCTTGGAGATTCGTGGAAAGTGATAAATCATGGGGGGCTGTCGAGTGGTGTCACTTTCGAATCTGCCGCGTCCCCCTCACATCAAAGCAGCACCATGCCCGCGACCCTGTACAAAGACATCGGCAAGAAGGCCAACAACACGATCTCGGACGATTACGATTTCTCCCGCAAGTTGAAGGTCAAGACCAAATCGGCCAACGGCGTCACGTTCACGACGGAAGGTTCGTTGGGTGCCAACAAGTCGATCCTCGCCAAGCTCGGCGCGAGCTTCAACCACTCGAGCGGGTTGAACGTCACCAAGCTCCAAGTCACGACCCAAGGCCGCTTGATTGGTGAAGCCGAGATCAACAACGCGTTGGTCGACAACTTGAAGCTCGGCTTTAAGCTCGAAGACGGTGGCAAGAACGCCAAGCAAGTTGCCACGGTCGACCTCAAGTACACCCAAGACGCGTTCACGACCCACACCGAAATTGACGTCGCCGGCAACAACGTGACTCAAAACGGTGTATTTCACTACGACAACTTCGTCGTCGGTGGTACCACCGCGTTCTCGTTGGAAAAGCAAGCTGTCTCGGACTACGGTGGTGCTATCGGGTACAAGGCCGCAGACTTTGAAGCGTCGATTGTCGCCAAGAAGTTCTGCAAGAACCTTGTCACCTCGTTCGTTCACTCCCCCAGCAAGGACGTCACCTACTCTGCCGTGTACGACTTTGACTCGAAGACCGGCGGCAACACGTTGACGGTCGGTGGTCGCTACACCGCTGACAAGGACACTACGTACCTTGCCAAGGTCGATTCGGAAGGCATTTTGTCGTTGGCGTCGATCCAAAAGTTGCGCCCGTTTGTGTCGTTGACCACTTCCGCCCAAGTGGACGTGAAGAACTTCGAAGGCGATGCCCACAAGTTCGGCTTCGGTATCACCCTCGGCTAAACCACTGCCGCGATATCCTGACTTCCGCGAGGGGTGTGCGACGGAGGTGCTTGGTGCGTAAGTGTGTGCTGCTCACACTAGAAATGCGTTGGCCAGCGCACTCGCCATGCCATGCTTCCCCTCTCTCCATGGTCCACGGAAGCGACATGTAAAACCACAAATTTAAAGTTCCCATCCTACTCGTGCTACAACGTAAACTCATGCGAAGTCCGGCCGTTTGCTGTGGCTGCGTCGTGGTGGTAGCCGGGCGACGCAGCGCTGCAGTCGAGCAGCACCACGTCAGACATGGACGATCCCATCGAAGACTCGGCAACGTCGCGGCAGCAATCGACTTCGAGTGCGTTCAACTTGGTCAATCGGACTTGTTTCGGGGCGTGCTGGATGACGTCCTTCGACGCTGGTGGCGCCACCTTCTTGGATGGAGTTGTTATCGAGACCGCATTCGTGTGTTGGGGAGACTCAACGGTGCTGCCATCGGCTCCATGGTCGCTAAGGTGGTGCGGCAGCATGACCGACAGCCGCTGGTTGGCCGCCGCCTTGGTGGACTTCCGCATCTTGTAAAACCTGTAGAACCCAAACATGGCCGTGATCGTCGACAGCTACCACCGCGTTAGCGCCGGTCGACGTCGGCATCGTACCCCGCCAGCAGCATACGTAATGATCTGGCCCCACCGCTTCCAGAACGCGTTTCGCAGACATTGCGGGGGGCCAGCAAAGTCCTCCAAGCACGTGCACACGCCGTCTACGTGCGATCGACACGATGAGCGCCAACTCGACCGACACATCGAGTGACGCACTCAGCATGGCCCCTCGCACTGGGTCGCAGTCGCCCGTGGACACTGGCGCAGCTGGCACCGCGTCCGAGCACGTCGATCCATTGCCTGGCGTAATCTAGTCGCCGCCATGACGGCCGTACTCACAAACATGCATCATGGCTGGCGTACTGTGATCGAGAGCTCCTTGGACGCGATGCACCCGCCCTGTGCAAACGCTCGCAAGAACACCTTGCCTTCCACGGCGGGGCAGATGAAAAAGAACCCGCCAGCCTTGGGCGTGGCCGCCGCGCTCGCGTTCGTCACTTGCGTCGTCTTGGGCTGGCCAGTTTTTAGCGCGAGGTACTTGACGTCCATGGCGGCGGGCCATTGCAGGCGCAGCCAGTTGCCGGCCGGGAATCGCATGTCCGTGTCGGCAAACGTCATGAGCGTGAGGTCGTACGTTGGCTGGCCGAACACGGCAGGCTGGCACGTTTTGTCAAAGCAGCACGTGGTTTGAGCGGCGGCGCACGCCGTAAAGTCGACGGCGTCAGCGCTGCCCACTTTGGGCTGGGCGAGGCACGTAGCACAGCACGACTCGGGCGAGTCTCCCACGGGCTGGGCGTCAATGTAACAACACGACACGACGGCATACCAGAGCAACATGCCCATGGACGTGCGTCGATGGGATGCCATCCACGCCTTCGCTGCGAATCGAGAGATGTGCAGGAACGGGCCATGTGCAGCTATTTTTAGGCACGGCTATACAATTGGTGGGCCATATTTTGATGTTAAAGATTTATTTGGTTTTATTGTATTCATGTATATTTTTTCAATTTTTGTATATTATTATCCAAATACTCTTGGGCATCCTAATTATTTATTTAAAAATTCTGAATAAAAAATAGAGTTTAAAAAACGCTATAAAAGGGGTATATGCCCATGACGGGGCACATCCCGTCGTGTCGATCTCCTCAGGAGCGAAGACGCGCAAAAAGAGCGCATGGGCTGTCGCGTCAAGAGGTGGCGCTGATGCACTGGACGGGCGGCTTGCATGCAACGTGCGGATGCGGCATTGCGGTGTCTCGCACGTTCGGTGAGCTCAAGGACGCGCCGGACTCGCGCGAGCGTCCACGAGAGAAGACTGTTTCCTTCGTGGGTGAGAGATCTGGGACCGCTTTTCAACACGTACGAGCACCATGCCATTGCAATCTCGTGTTAACAATGGGACAACGAGACGATGGCTCTATTGCACGTGCGGTGCTCCACGCGACAAGGGTTTCAACTGTCTTCGTCGCTGGCCACCACATGCATTCGAGCTGCGGACTTGGCCGTCGATCGTTTGGACAACGTCTTTTTCCTCGTCTTGTCGGCTTTGGGCTTGTTCACGTCGGTGGCCGTCGAGACGAGCAGGGCGGCCGGCATGGGAGTAGATGTGGCGGTAGTCTGGAGCATCTCGATCGCTGCTCGCTTGGCTTCCTCGATGGCGGCAAGGACGCTCGCGTTCATCTGTGTCGCAGACGCGGGGGGAGTTGGTGCGATAGCTGGCTTGACCGGCGCGAGAGGTGGAGACGAGTTGCGACCGCGTTGCGTGGACGAGGATGTTACAAACTTGTCATCGTCGTCGTCGTCGTCGTCACTCCAGAACGAAGACGACTTGGCAACGACAAATTCTTGGTCGCCACTCGATCGCTCCCCATCGCTGGCGGCGATCGCAGGTGGTTTAGCAGCACTTGCTTGCGTCGCTTTTCGACCCGTCGGACTGCTGCTGTGCTCGCTGCCCGAGTCGAGCAGGTCCAAGCGGGCCTTCACACCGCGCTTTTTGGCCCTGCCACCCGCGGCGTGACGAGCCGGGTGATTGATCGATGTGGGGTTGTCTACGGGCTGCGTCGACATAACATTGACCACCATCAACGATGGCATGGCAGGTGGCAAGGTCGATTCGACTGGAGTCGTCGGGATCTCTCGTGTGGAAATGGACGGCCGTTGAACGACTGGCGGCGGCGGCGCAACAACGTCGGGGCGGCTGTCACTCGAATCTGGCAATGGCGATGCACTTGGCGCGACGGGTGGCGCATGGGCCGGAGGATTCGAATCAACGTCGCTTTCGTCTAAGATCACGTCCAAGAACACGTCGTCGTCGCTCAAACCATCCGCGGCTGCTTTCGACGAAGGTATGGGTGCCACTTGAAGCACAGGACGAGACGCAAGAGATTCCCGTGGCGAGGCGGGGCCAGCTTCGCTGTCGGATCGAGTTGCTGCAGGCACAAAGTCCTCAAGCGACTCTTCATCCTGGGCTTTCTCGGCGTGGGTGGAATGAGTTTGTGCCAAGACCGTCCGCTTGCTGTCAGCGGTCAAACCATCATCGGAATCATCCGAGTCGGCAAAGCCCGGTCGAGCGACCACGGGTCGTCGCGATGACGCCGCATTGGTTTGCTTCGTCATCGAGACTTCATCCGAGTCGCTGGAGTCGCCTTTTCGCGCGGATGGGACTATGTCGTCATCCGAGTCTTCCACGACAGGAGGGCGACGCCGGGTGCGTCTCGGCGACAGCTGCACCTGCTGCGTGGTCGGTTCATCCGAGTCACTCGCCTGCTTGCACTGCTCTTGGTTGGCAGCAGGGCCATCGACCACTTCCTCTTTGCAAAATACGTGTCCCGTCGCTGTCGTCCGGACGCCTTCATCGTCCGACATCTTGTCTTCTTTGGCATCCCCTTGGTTGCTCCTTCCATGGTCGTGCGTGGAAGATGGTTGGATCGATTTTTTTTCCGCGGCGGCGGACGCCTGCGTGGGTGCAGGGGGCGTCATCGCCCGGGGCGACACAGCTACATATGCCTTGACGTCTGGCGGAACGACGCCGCCGTGGCGGGTCTCCTGCACGTCGTCGTCGGTATCGGACGAGTCGCTGTATAGAAAATTTTGTTTGCGAAGCACGCGTGGCTGCTGGCCCAACGTTCGCACCACCACGTCCTAATCAAACCAAACAATGAATCGATACGGCATCACACGCACGCACACCTCGTCGTCGGCGGAGCTTTCGTCATCGGAATAAAACTGGCCCATGTCGGTGGACACTGTAAAGTCCTCGAGGGTCTCGTTCTTGTCAAACGAGCGCCGCTTGGTTCCGGCGGCGGAAGCTTTTCCAGCAGTGTTGTGGCTCGTCTTGGTAGGTTGACTTGGGGGGGATGTCTCCGCCATGGCCTGCTTTCTTCATCCCGTGGTCGAAACGTCAGCAACCTTGACCTGAATGTGCTCTGTGCGGAGTGGACTTGGGGCCTCGGGCTCGACGTCTTCAGCGGCAATGTCCCCTCGCTCCGGCAGGTCATCGTCGACGTCGTCGTCGACTACAACTGCAGGGACAGACTGGTCACGCGCTTCTTCGTCGAGTTGGGTCAAGGTTTCGTCATCCTCTTCCATATCTGGCATGCGCGGTCGCAATGGCTCGTGGCGAGGGGATGGCGTCGGTGGTGACGGCGGTCGAGGGGGCTGGGGTCGAGGAGTCGACACGTTCAAGTCAGTGGACGTCGCGTCATCGTCGAGATCTTCGTCTGTAGCATGAACTGTCGACTCGGTGCGACTTAGCGCGGACGGTGCTGTACTGGACGTAGCGGAGGTCGGTCGACTCCCAGCGGAGCTTCCACTTACACCCGACGGATTGCGCCGTCCCGTGCGAATGTCGGCGCCTGCCGCGATCGTGTGGACAAAATGACTGTACTTTTGGGTCGAAATGGTCGCGTCAACGTCGAGTTTCGCGTTGGCGAGGTCGGTCTCGAGAAGGCGAAGCTGCTGCTTGACGGTGGACACCTTCAAATGCAAGAAAGGAATCGCAAGATACGTGTGCAGCGCCTTGAGACCGTAGCAGTTGCTCAGGGACGCCTCAAAGTAGTGTTGTTCTGCCGGCCGACGGAACGTAGGATTCTTCATGTCCTTGGCATGGCCGTACAAGAGGGACTGCACGTCTTCCTTGAAGATTGCGCGCTTCAGAGTATTGTCGCCGCGCCGCAGATCGCGAAATGTACCAATGATCAACGTAGGGATGTGCACGGGTACGAGATCGAGTTGGTGTTTGACGTACTCGAGGGTTGAGTACTTGGAGATGTCCATGAGAAAGATGACTCCGTGAGCGTTCTGGTACACATCGACGTTCTGCGCATCCACAGGCGCGACGTGGTGGCGACCTTGCGAATCCGAGTCAAGCATTGCCGCATCCACACCGTCTGCACTGTCCTTCAACCCAACGTCGACAACGTCCCAGACCTCGCATTTCACGCTCTCTTCCGAGCTTCCCTTCATGCTCCAGTGGATTGACGCTGTTTGAATCTCTCGCGTGAGTTCGTGAGTTTCTGGGATCGGTTGGCCTTGCAACCGCGCCAGCAACGACGTTTTCCCTGTCCCGCGTTCACCCCGGATCAACAACTTCATGTTGTACGTGATTTCCCCGCGGACCTTTTTCCGAATCACCTTGTCCATTCTCCTGATGGACCCCATGGGCGCGGGCACTCCCGCGGGCAATGGCGTCTGTGTCCCCGGCGGCGGTTCGACTGGCCTGCTTGCATCGTTCCCCATCGCCGATGCGCTTGCAAATTTGTTGATGTCGCCGTACAACGGTTGTATGGTACCGTACGATGTACATTAATTAGTACGTACAGTGCGTACGATCTAGTCCAACGCCGACATTCAAATTCAGTATGACGGAATGTAGGTCGTCTTTGCCTCTCGAATTGGGCTTCATGGGAAGAATGTATGACGTTTGGTCGATTTTCTTGGGGGTTTTCATTTACTTTCTGGCCTGCCGCCGCTTACGTGGACACGATGAACTTGTTTGGACGGAAGGCGCCGGCGCCGGTGCGGACAAGCCCTGCTGACACTGCTGAGACGATCCGCAAGATCAGGGAACAGCTCGACACACTCGAGAAGCGAGAGGCTCACATCGAGAAGAAGATGGAGCTGCAGTTAGAAGAAGCGAAAAAGAAGTCGGCTGCAAAGGACAAGCGCGGCGCTATCTTTTGCCTCAAGCGCAAGAAGATGTACGAATCGGAGATCGAAAAACTACAGGGCGCGCGCATGACGTTGGAAACACAAGTCATGACGCTTGAGTCGACGCAGGTCAATATGGCGACATTTACCGCACTTCGCAGTGGGGCGAATCAAATGAAGGCGATCCATGGCCAAATGAATGTGGATTCCGTCGACGACATCATGGACGACATCCAGGAGGAAATGGCCACTGCAGATGAAATCGGTCGTGCGATTTCCCAACCCCTCGGCAACGCCTTGTACGACGAAGACGAACTGGAACAGCAACTGCGGGAATTGGACGACTTGGCCATGGAAGAACAGTTGGCTACTCCGTCTCCCGTCGCTGCACCCGTCCAAGCGAGACCACAACCCGCGCAGGCGGCGCCTGCCCAGCAACCTGCGCAAGCCATGTTCAACTTGCCTGAAGTCCCCACCCATGCTGTCTCTCAGGTCAAAGTCACCGGGAAAGCTGACGCCGACGAACTCGAAGAACTACGTCGACTTGAAGCGTCCATGGCGATGTAATGATCCTAACGGGACACATATTTGCTAAAAGTTGCGCGTTATCTCTTGTCGTTTCATGCAGTGCGATCTTCGCGCCGCCATCGCGTCTTGTAACGTGACCGTTCCAGGGCAGCGGGGCGTCACAGTACGAGGCACACTCCTCTGCGCAGTCCTCGTTGAGAGGGTAAATGTGCGATGTGAAGTCCACATTTTCCTGCACCTACCGCTCTAAGGCGACGTAGCTGCTCTCTCCGACGATCTTCTTCCTCATCGGGACGGACGGCAGCGCACGCATCGTCCTTCTTCCCAGCAAACATGCCCATTTCCGACATCTCCCGACGTCGTGGTTTGATTGGTTGTATGTAAGGGCTTTTCAGTATTCGATTCGTTTTGATTGGATAAAATCGATAATTTTAGAGGTATACACGTCATTTTAGCCAATGAAGCATCATTGTGAGCCGCCAGGTTGCGGCCAGTGGTTCTCGAGATTTGGACATTTGAATTCAATCATTGGATATTCGTCGCGTTGAAGCATCATGCGCGTCATCGTCGGCGATGAAACCGGGCTCGTCAAGAACGTAGCTCTCGAAGCAGCCACTGCCACGATGCTCACAGGCACGGCGCAGGGCCGTAGCAAATCTGCTCGGTACCTGGCATGGTCCGACAAGGACGTGGTCGTTGCGCGCACAAACGGCGACGTCGACTGTGTCGGTATCAACGGTGGGTCGCCGTGGAGCTTCACGCGAGAAGGCAGCCCTGTCGGGATGGGCGTTGTCGCAGAATACGGGTCGATTGTGCGCTGCAACACGGCAGGACGTGTCGAAGTGGTCCACCCGTTGCACGTGAAGCCGAACCCGCCTGCGTTCAACGTCGGCAACGACATTCACACGCTGCGCGTGAATCCATACGCGTCCAATGTGATTGCAATCGGTGGCAAAGAGCGCGACATGAACGTGTGGGACTTGCAGACCCAGCAGGCAGTTTTCAAAGCAAAAAACGTCACCCACGACAACTTGGACATGCGCGTCCCTGTGTGGGTCAAGGCCATCACGTTCTTGCCGCCGACGTCGGCCGCGGGTGGCAGCGAAAGTGGCCACCGTCTCGTCGTTGGTACAGCGTACCATCAGATCCGCATTTACGACACGAGTGCGAAGCGACGACCGGTGCTGGAGACGTCCTTTGGCGAGCACCCCATCACATCACTCGTCGTCCAGGACCACCGTGTTATGTTTGGCGACACGGCAGGCAACGTCAACGCTATCGACATGCGAACTTTCAAGCACTTGGGTCGGTATCACGGTCCGGTGGGGTCGATTCGAGACATGGCACTGCATCCGACGCTTCCGTATGTGGCGTCCGTCGGGCTCGATCGCATGGTGCATGTCCACCACATCGAGGCGCGAAAAGCCGTGCACACGTACTATGCCAAACAGCGGCTCAACGCTGTGCTATTCACAGACGAAGGCGTCAAGGCCGCTCCGATCGCGGCCGTCCCGGCGGCGGAAGACGTTGTGGAGGACATGGTGAGTGACGATGAAGACGACGAGGCGTACGAAGGCCTCGAGATTGACGACAATAGCAGCTACATGGGCAGCGACGCGTCCGACGACGATGGCATGGAGTAGCATGTCAACATCAGTGGAAGCTTTAATTACTAATCTAGACGGAGTGGGGGAGTCACGGCCCGTGGCAGAGGTCAAGGCACACACGCAGCGATTCAGAGGCCGCGATAGTCTTGCCGGTCGACCCGATTCTCAAAGTCACTGATGGCTTCCCGGCGAGCTTCGTTCAACTATATAGTAAGAACCATGGCATGAGGTTCGCGAGCTAGCATGGCACCGTACATGGCGCTGCACAATCGACTCGGCCGACTCGACATCGTTGTCGTCGTTATGGCGGCGAATCGAGTTGGCCGCGACGATCTTGGGCCGGCCGTCGGCTTCGTCGTCATCGCGGACAGGGTCGTAGGCGCTCGCTTTAAGAAAGCGCTTCACGTTGGTCACTGCGGCCAGGTACCCGTCCTTGCACGCTTGCTCGTACCCGCGGTCGTGGCCGCGGCCCCACTGGTCGCAGTAATGGAACACGCCATCCGTGATGTGCGCCAACTTGGACGCCGACGCCGTGCAGTATGCGCACCCGGCAGCCGTCCCTGCGGTTCGACGTCATGGTGTGGGTGAATCCTGGTTACGTACCAGTCGTGTACGCTTCCGTGCATCGAGAGTAGAGCGCGGGGCGTGGCACGCGGTATCGGAATGGCTCGCACACACCTTCTTGAAACGTGCCGACGAACGCCCGGCATTCGTTCAAGCAGTCGTCTTCTTCAGCCGTGCGACGCAGGCGATAGGCATGGGTTGGCACGACGGCGAGCACCGTCGCGAAAATAGCAAATCCAAGCACGTGCATGTTGTAGAGTGGTTCGTCGCGGCGGATGTGCTTGCAGGGTGCCAAGGGCTTGGGCCGTGGGCTATTTTTAGCATGGAGCAGCGTCAACCTTCGCGATCAAGATGGCGGGCGGCGTTGGGGCAAAGGTGCCAAGGAAGACGGACAGTCGCGCGCCCTACTCGGTGGGGTGCACTGCAACCCATGCAAATCGGAGCTGCGCATGCCAGCGACGTTGAATGGATGCGTGCATGGATCCGTGAGTGTGGTCCATCGACATAAAGGTTGCGCGCCGGCGGCAGACCTGGCGGGGGCCCGAACGATGGCGCTGCCATGTTGGGTGCTTGGTTCACAATGCGCTTGAGTAAACGAGTGCGCCGTAGTTGGTTGCTCTAGCCTAGCTCAGCGATTTGTAAGGCCATACGTCATGCGATGCAAGTTACCATGCATGAAGGCGCCATGGCATTGCGGTGGCTGAATGTGTCGACCGACGCCACGATCCATCCAAGCGAGAGCACGACAACCGGTCGTTGAATGTTCACGAAAACGCATTCGAGATAAACCAATTGGTGATCCTGTCGAGCCTGGGGTCATGCGACGGGTGGGCGGATCGAAGGCGTGAGGTGGCTTCTGCCGCGCACACGCCGACGCTGGCGAGGCTCGTCTCTCATCAGCACGTTCCCGACAGAGTCCTGCTTTGAAAGTTGCCGCGCCAGGTCCCACGTCATCAGGTCGTGTGCACGAGGGAAGCATTCGCAGCGATGGCAGCAGTGATGGTGTGCATGTTGTGCCTCCTATCTTTCTCCATCATGCAGCGACGACGCTTTGAAAATCGCGCTCGAGTACGCCGACTCTTCATGCTCATGGCAGGTGAACGACGACACTTGGAAGTGAAAAATACATGACCTTCGGAAGAAGGGAAAGCAGTACAGCACAGAAGGCAGTGCCGTTGCTTCAGTTGAGCGCATGAATCACCGAGAAGGTGATGGGCATGGCAGTCGCAAACTTTTACCACTTGGTGCGGGGCTGCTCGTACGCGCAAACTTCTCCATGTCCATCGAACCGAAGGCATAACGAACTCTGCCATCGCTGGCGCGACAGAGCATGGTCTTTTGAGAGTTGGGACGTCATGACGCGCCCACCGCAATGACGATATCACGGAGCAAGCCCTGGAAGGCACGGAGTCGCCATCTCCGAGTAGTTCGACGCGCCCAAAGAGGTCGGTGTAGCCGCAGGCAGGTCCTTGCGCGCTGCCGAGTGCGGGGACATGGCGTGGATGCAGTGGTTGCAGGACTACGCTGATACATACAGGTCGTTCGTGCTCCTTGTGGCAAGCTCACGATGGTGCGGCCGCGGTGGCGTCGAATGACGAGGAGGCGCATATTGAGCTGCTTGGCAGTCTTGTTCAACCTGCACGGCACTGGCCATGCATTGCTCAAGCGCCGCGACGGACATTCGTCACGTCAAATAATCCCTTGGCCGGCGTGCTGCACACGCAGCGCATCAAATGCGCCGCGTGCAACAGATACGTCGCGGTCATGGCTTTCTCAACAACGAAGTGTGCCTGCAGCTCACTGCCAAACACAATGTCGCTGTCGCAGCGGGCATGTCCGTCCAAGTTGTAATCATGGTTCCACGTCAATGGCAACTGGAGCCTGGCGTCGATCGACGGCGACAATGCCAGGCGCAGTGGTTTACCTCGTTATGATGCAGCGCACACTACACGCTGGAAGAAAATGCGGACGGCGTGAGGTGTGGTGCGCGAAGCTCTCGCGGCATGCGTGTGAAACGAGAGATCGTCCTGTCGTCAGAGGCGAGCGAGGTGCACAATGTGCGAGTTGCTACATCTTCGTGATGTTTGGGTCGCCGATGAACATTGGGGCCGGGTTCGAGTGGAATGATTCATCAGTTTGTCCGCTTATCTACTTCTGCTTCTTCTTGGGCAGGTACTTGCCGCGGTGGTTGAAGACGGCGAACTCTGGATTGGATGTGATCCAGTCGAATGATCTAGAGAAAGGAGCGGCACGTTAGTGCACCAAGGCATGCACCCTTTGACCAGTCGTACTTGGTGTTGAAGAAGTCGGTCGACCGGATCGGCGCAAAGTCACCGGCGGTGACGAGAACGCCGACCAAGAAGAAGAGAAACGAAACAGCCAGCTCGATCTTGGCCTACAACAACAAACGACGGGTTCAGCGCATGCAAACGTGGGCGACTGATGCCTGTGCGACGTACAGCAAGAGGCGGCAACGACGCATCCGGCACTTCCGCGAGCTTGACGTACTCTTCGTCTGAACAAAGCAGCAGTCGTCATGGGGTGGCGTTCACTCGAGACACTCTAACAAAGCCCGGCCATCGACTTACATTGCAGAGTGTAGTAGCCTGCATGAACAAGGAGGACGCTGCCCGCGGCGATCAGGACCTTTCCAGCCATGATGTATTGGATGCCGGTCTGTTTGTGGGGGCAACCAAGCCTATGAAATTTAATATTCATTGCAGATTATGTTTCAGAGTACACTTTTTGTGCAGCTGTCGGAGCGAACGCACGAGGCCGCCAAGGGGCTATGCTCACGATGCAGCGACGATGAAGATGCCTGTGTGGAGACATGCGAGAGTGGGCTAGGAGTAGCGGGGGACAAGGAGCCGGGTGCTTGCATCATGGCAAGCCATGCAGGATCGTATTGTGTGAATGGAAGCCCGTGTCGACTTGCTCACACGCCACACTTACACTCGCAATCACTTCCATTTGAACGCATTTAGGCTCGTCTTCTTCTCGAGTTGCCCTTTCTTTGTTCTCAAACGATTCGACTGACGCCGAAAGTCATTGTCGCCGCCGACGGTGCCGGGATCAGCGTACATTGGTCGTGGATACGGAATCTTGTAGTGCATGCCAACTTCCAACCTCTGCTCGCCTTGTTCGAGAGCATGTTCAATATCGTCGACACGCTTGAGATGTCGATTCGCTTCAAATGCTCGCCTGCATCACAACAACGCTCGCATCAAATTCGTCACGCGTGGGGCATTCCCATGTCAGTGTACCATACCTCCCTTCTTGCTTGATGTACTCACGCTCCTTCTCTGGGCCTTCCCCTACGCCATGGACATAACAAGGAGAAATCTCCATGAATATGCTGCCTTACACGTCCTTGCAACACGCAGGATTCGTCGATACAGCGCCAGCGCGCGGTGTGCCGGCGACGACATGGTGGCGAGGTGATTCAGTTTGCGATGTGATTGGTGCATGGAATACTGTCGTTTGATTGGATAAAATTCAAGAGGGTGGGGGCCGAATTTCACACCGCCACAGAACATGGTAAGGCAGCGACGGCGGCGGCGGCGGAGGCACGCGTGTGATGCCGTCTGCGCGTCAAGATCGAACCCAATTCAATGCTAATGGGGAATAATGTGGATAGTTGCCTTTGTCACTGTTGCAGACTGCCCAAGGGGCGCCTATGGTACGTCTGCGCGACGGGGATACGCGCTGGAACTCACGTACCATGCTCTTGGTAGTTGGTGGAACTCAAGAGCGGTGACACATACAACGGCCAGCTTGTGAACTGCGATACATGGATGAACATCAACCTTAAAGACGTGATTTGCACGGCAAAGGTGACGGTCCAGAGTAGGTCACGACATCGAACGTTGACATGGTGTGTAGGATGGCGATCGCTTTTGGAAGCTTCCCGAGTGCTACATCCGCGGAAACACCATCAAATACATTCGTATCCCGGACGAGGTATGCGTGCCTCTATTGTTCTTGATGCGAGTCGTTGCGACGGTGTAGGTATTGGACATGGTGGTCGAAGAGGACCTGACAAAGAAAGGTAGACATCGAATCTGCATCCACGACATTGTGCGCGACTTGCTCGAGTTAGATCGAAATGCACTTCGTGGACGTGGGCGAGGTGGCCGTGGTGGAATCGGCAGCAGAGGCGACGGCGGGGGCCGAGGTGATGGTGGTCGCGGTCGTGGAGAAGGTGGTCGTGGACGAGGCGACGGTGGCCGCGGACGTGGCCGAGGCAGCGGTGGTCGCGATTCGAGCCGCGGAGGCGGGCGGGCGAGTTCCCGTGGTGGCCGTGGGTATCATGGCGAGACCGCATAAAATCAAGGAGAGGTTGAATTCCCCTTGTATGTCTTCCTCGCAAAGCATGCATTGTCTGCATGCAAAACAGTGCAAGAACCCGCGAGACAATTGAAAACGTGTACTAGCATTCGAGCCTTATTTGGCGTTGGTGCTCGGGCCTTGGGGGTTGTTCTTAATTAAATAGGCCGCGAGCCATTCAATGGGGTTGGGGGGACGCTCCTTGACCAAGGACGACATGCCCTGCAGCAAGATTGGCACAACCGTTTGGTCCAAGTACGCTCGGATCGGAAGCGACTGCACGTCGAGCTTGGCAGCAGATTGATCCGCGGCCTTTTCCGCATTCTTTGCTTCCGTCGCCTCGTCGTTATCTTGCGTCTTGGACTCCGCAGCTCCGTCACCCTACGAAGCACAACCATTCGTCACTTCGTTCGACAGTGAACAAGTTGCGGCCGGCCGTTCGTGCGCCAAGATCTGCACCCACCTTGGGGTCAGGGGCAACGCCTTGGTCTTCTGTGGTAGGAGGCACGTCTACACGACAGGATGCAGTGAGCTTCCTTCTCGGCCATCGATCATTCCATGCGGCAACAGTACCTTTCACCGCTGCATCGGCCATCCTCGACTCTCGTTCACTTGGAAAAAGAACGTTAATCCACCACCGACTCGGTACCGGGCGTCCGGATACGACTGCTCGATGGCTCTGTATCCGGACTGAGCCCTCTTGTCACCATGGCGCACGACGCGAAGGAACTCCAGGACCAGCCCGACACAGATATTCCATTAACTCGACACCATGCTACGTCTGGATGCGCTGGATTGGGTCGCCAGTGATGGGATTGATGCCGGCGCGTGAGCTGTTGAACTGCAAGTTTGCCGCGCGGACGGACGCGCGATGGCGGATTTCCATGTCGGCCTGCTTGAGGCGCTCGCCGTCCTTTCCGTCGTTGTACTTGAGTGTGATCGGGTTGAATTGACAGCTCGACTTATTGCGACGAGCTTTGCCACCATCTTCGCGGAGTTGGTCCCACCGTTTCTTTTCCTCGGCCGATTTTGCGTCCATGGCCTTCCACCGTTGATCTTCGCGAATTTGGTTGTCACGGCGGCGAGCGTCGTAGGACATTTGGTGCTTTGCAATCTGCGACTCACGCGCCACTTTTTCTTCCCCCGCCACGTCTGTGTGGAATCGATCCGCGTCGGACATGTACCCTTGCGACCCCACGGCCTGCACTGTCATGGCGCTGCCAGAAATAGACGTGTCCACGCGGACGTACCCTTCCTTCCGCGCACGCAGTCGATCCTTCTCCCATGTCTCTTTGTCTCGCACGGCCTTGCGCTCATCGCGCGTCCGAGCTTGGATGTTCTTGAACGCCATGGCAATATGGTGTTGCTTGTCTTCTGGAGCATCTAATTTTAGTTTGCCAAGATGAGACCTCCACACGACATCCGGATAATGCTACTCTATTTAGGGTATTTCAGCGCTTTGTCGTGTCATCTTCCCACCCAATGAACGCGTCAACACTTCACCCATGTGTTGCGATCAACATAGCGCGCCTGCCCTTCGTGCTGAACAGTGAACGTTGCGTTGCCACGGCTATTATGTTCTCATGCCACCATCCGCGTCAGAACGGCGACGGGACTGTAAGATCTCGGGTGGGTGATGTGCCGTTGCCCAGCCCCACGTTGCGTGGGCCGCATCTGTTTAAGGCAATTGATTCGATTGAGGGTGTGAATCGGGCTGAATGACCCTAAACAAGGTGGTATCCGGAAGGATGTGGCACCTGCGAGCCAATGGGAGGCCGTCCTTGGAAGGTCCTCCATGTGAGGTCAATGATAACATCCCAAGCCAGTCAATCCGAATTTTGCGAGTTGACGCGTACACGCCGCAACACATCGCCGATGTCTCTCGCAGCGATCCCGACGAAGGCCCTGTTGGCGGAACTGGAAACGCGCCTGGAATGTGCTGGCAAGAAGGAGCGCCGCACCGTGTTCATCGGCCCGCCTGGCTGCGGCAAGGGCACTCAAAGCCCGATTGTCAAGGACGAATATTGCTTGTGCCACTTGGCCACGGGCGACATGCTTCGCGCGGCCGTCCGTGAAGGCACTGAAATGGGCAAGAAGGCCAAGGCCGCCATGGAATCCGGCGCGCTGGTCACGGACGAAATCGTGATCGGGATCATCAAGGACGCCATCAAGAGCCCGGAATGCCGCCGCGGGTTCATTCTCGATGGGTTTCCACGCACGGTTGTCCAAGCCGAGAAGTTGGACGAAATGCTCGCGTCGTCTAATACGCAAGTGGACAAGGTAGTGAACTTCAACATCCCGGACCAAGTCTTGGTCGAACGCATCTCGGGACGTCGAATCCACCCCGCCAGCGGCCGCAGCTACCACGTCAAGTTCAACCCACCAAAGGTGGCAGACATCGACGACATCACGGGCGAGCCCTTGATCCAGCGCAAGGACGACAACGTTGCGACGTTGGGCGCGCGCCTCGAAGCGTTTCACAAGCAGACGCAGCCTGTGATTGATTTCTACGCTCGCCAAGGCAAGCTCGTCGAAGTCAATGCGAACATTAGCATGGACACCGTGACCAAGCAGATCCGAGAGAGCTTTGGCACCGACTAATTGCCCAACACACGTACACTGGTCCTGTTGAGTGCTCATGGGAGGGGGTTTGCGGTTGCACCAACGGCTGGAACGCATCGTGCGCCAATGCGGCTGGCACCGTCTGTAGATGGATGTGTGCAACGTGTTGGCGGTGGGAATCGGCAGGCGGCAGAGCACCTGAGCCATCAAACGACTCGAAGATGGAAACTCGTATTATGTTTATTGCTAAAAGTACGTGAAGATGCAGACTTCGCAGGGCTCGACAAGCGGTACGACGTTTCCAGCCCAGCTCACCGTTCCATTCGTCTGCCGCGGTTTGTCCGAGCTGGCGGGGCATTGCGGCGGCGACACGTCGACGCCATTGACATGGGTCAGGAACACTTCTTCGTCCGGCATTCCGGCCAAGGCACATGGCGACCCAGGAACGGCCTGGACAACGATCCATCCGTCTTGTTGGCGCACAGGCTTCAAGCCCAAACTCCCATTTCGTTTCGTCACCTACCGCAACACTCACAGCATGAGAGCACAGTGCGCTGCCAGTCACCGAGCGGGGACCCCAACGAGCAAAACATCCCGCGGACAACATGCAGGTCTACCTCGACGGTCTGTTCGTTGTCAAAGCTAAACCAGATCCGCACGGCTTGAACAAATCCTCGTTGGAGCTCGGTCTCCATGAGGTTGTACACGCCTTGGTAGAGCACGTGCGGCCCATGGCGAGAGATGGCACTTGGGCACGCCTGCTGCATGCATGAGCGACGTGCATCGCGTAGTCAAGCAAACCATGGCCAGAGGAAGCAACGTTGTCTGGACGCTGTGCGTAGTGACGGGTTTCCCAATGCCTGCGAACTTGCGCAGGGTCTCCTGTGCACGAAAGGTCGTCTGGAGGATATCTTCGTACTCGTTCTGGACGTGGCCCCTCGCCGTCCCGATGATTCCACCGATGAACGACGTCGATGCACTGCTGCTATCGCGTCGGTCCGACCGCGATGTGTTGAGCTGTGGAACCCTGGGACTGTGTCATGCGGCCAACGAGCCACAAAAGATTGAACGTACCAGGTGCCAACGTGCCAGTGCGGATCACAACGCGGAACATGCGCTCGCGACGACGTAAGTGCCGCTTTCGAGGGAGTAGCGTTGGCCCGCGTGATGACGAGACGTGGACTACAACGGTGTACGAGTCTAATGCGGGGCTGTTGGATGCAAAGGATACACCGGCCTACCTGTCTGCAGTCGTTGTGTCGATGTTGATGGCGCTTCCAATCGCAGATGTGATCAGTGGGCGGGCAAAGATGTCCAAGACCCATTGAGACATCGACGTGGATATCCATGCTTGCAACTGGCTCGGCTCAATCGAGTCCACGTCATGACCAAGTGGCATATGATACAGCTTGATTTCATGTGCCCCTTCCAAAGTGAACAAGTCCTCTTCGGCGTAAATGGCATGGGCCCACCGGAGCTTGACTTCGTCGACAGACACCATGCCTTCATTGTCCCCGATGGGGACGTCGACTTCTACCTCCTTGTACTCGAGGAACCCATTGTTCTTGCTGATCTGCACCCGCACCATCACCGCCGCCGATGCCTTTTTTTACAAGATACAGGTTCGTAACCGGATGAGGTCTTTATCCGGACCATTTGATGGAAAACCAGCACTCGAGGAGTGGCTGCGTCGGCATGACGACGCGAGGAATCACAGCGACGAGTGCCGTCGAGTTCCTCAGGATCTGCGGACAGCTAAAGGTACGAGATGCGAAGGAGAAGTGTTGAGGTGGTGGTCCATCACGTGCGTATGTAGCGCTTGAAACGCACGGGATGGGTCAACCATAAAGTGAACGGCCCGGAGTCTGTCGCCGATCATATGTATCGAATGGCTATGTGCACGCTGCTGCTTGACGGGGATTCGTCCGTGGACAAAACGCGGTAAGTAGTCATGCATCCATCGAGACTGGAAGAACAGCACACGCGATGGCCCGGACGTCGATAGTAGATGTATCAAGATGGCCATCGTCCATGACTTGGCCGAATCGTACGTCGGCGACATCACTCCTCACGATGGTATCTCTCCACAGCACATTTGCATGGTGATGCATGTCAACTCATTCGACGTGTGCGCACGTGCAGGCGTATCGAATGCAGAAAAGCATCGTCTCGAACTGGTACATTGTCACGGCTAGTCGTTGGTGTCCCTCACTTGCCGCAGAACGCGATCAACGAAATCTGCCACAAGCTCGGACACTCTCAAGCAGGTATATCGCCACTGAATGCTGCCTTGCTCCCCGTCCTTACGCGTTGCAGCGCTCGAAATCAAGGAGCTGTGGCACGAATACGAGGACGCAGCGACCGACGAAGCCAAGCTCGTCAAGGACATTGACAAATTTGAAATGATTTTGCAAGCCGACGAGTACGAAACGGGTACATTCACGCTTGCATGGCATGGTCTCGATTCTACCAACGCTGCTTTCCATGGCAGCGCAAGACAACCTGCACTTGGACCAGTTCTTCACAAGTACCGACGGCAAGTTCCAAACGCCGCTGGTGCAGTCGTGGGTTCAAGAACTCAGCGCGCAACGGCGTACGCGACGGACTGGCGCTTCGACCCACGCATCGACTTGACCGTCATGAAAAGCACACTCTCTCGTTTGTCCGTCACTCGTTTACGTTTTTCTCGACGTGGCCATCGACGGCTTGGTTCTTGTGCTCAGTCACCACGTCATGCACCACCGCGCGGACTTTGGGAAATGGTAGCGAGCTGAATTTCCCCCACAGCGGGTTCTCCCGCCAGTCCTGCGAAGGAAATCGAGGGCTCGTCAGTCCATGCAGGATTCGCGTAATACTTTGCGCCGGCACGATGCTCGCCCGGATTCGGTCGTCGTGGAGCAGGGTGGTTGTGGCTGCCTCGATGCTCAAAGTGTCGGGTTGGGTCAGCGGGGCTTTCAGCCACGCCGCCGTTTGGTCTTCAACACCGGGTCGCTCGTCTGTCGAGGTGGCTTCAAAATACGCTTCGATCGCCGCGTTCAGATGGTCGGTGGCATCGATCGAGCCGACGTCGCGGGGACCGTTGTTGTCCGAGTCACTTTCGTCATCCGCCCATCGAGGAGATGCACGTTTGTGGGCGCGAGTGTGCAGCGGCTTGTGTCGCTGGGACCATGCCGCTGCAAGGGCATTGTACAACGCTTCCACCCGCTTGACATGTCGCGCTTCTTGCGTACGATGGTGCGTGTAAATCGTATGCGCGAGGTGGTCCAGCTGCGTCGGCAGCAAGGGAGGGCCGAGCACGCGGTAGTGAATGGCATACTCGGACAAGGTGTAGTGCACGATGCCGAGCTGCTGGAGCCGCCGGAGGTCCATAAAGACGACCGCCGAGTCGCCCAGACCAAACCGGTGCGCATACTCGACCGTGTTCCAGACGTACGTGGTTGTAGTCAAGTACCCGTCTTGCACGGTCGTGACGTGAGCTATCGACGAAATGTTGGCGCACATGGCCTCGAGCTTCCACTTGGCCAGTTGATGGTGGCGCACGGTGATCGTGCACGTAGCGTACAGCGACGGGAAGAGCTCGACGACGCGTTGGAGGTCGAGGGTGGTCAGCACCGTTTCCACGACCGACGCCTTCATGTCGAATTCGTGTTCGAGCGCCGCGATCGGGTGCGTCACGCTCCGTGTGGGCGACGACGTATGGTGGCGAAACAGCGTGCGCATCAACCCATGGACCTGCGGCATCGAGAGCCCGTCCGCGTGCGCGAGCGAGTGGAACCGAATCAAGTCGGACGCGATCAAGAGCAGCACACACGTGGATTTCTTGCCGTCGCGCCCGGCTCGACCAATGTGCTGGACGTAGTGCTCCATGCTGCTCGGCATGTGGTAATGCACAACGCCTCGCACGTTGGCCTTGTCGATGCCCATCCCAAACGCAATCGTGGCCACCACAACGCGGATCTTGCCGGCGGCAAACCCGTTTTGAACCTACGCGAGAACGCACAGCGACGTCAACAGGCGACTCGACCAAAGCATGCCGTTCGCCATGGCCGTGTTTGCTGTGGTGGTGTGCAGAGGTACCTTGTCTTTGACATGCGCAGGCAGCGCTGCATGATACGCGCGGGCGTGGACGCTGGCTTCGGACGAGAGCAGGGCCGCGACTTGGGTGGCAGCATACTGCGAGTGGACGTACACGATGACGCTGCCTTTGTTCAACGGCGCCGTCACGAGCAGCTTTCGCAGGGCATCGTATCGATCGTCATCGTGCTCGACGCGCAGGACGCGAAGTTGCAAGTTGGCGCGGTATGCACGGCATCGATGGATCCCGTCCGGCGGCACGTCCAAGATGCGAACAATGTCGTGCGTCACTGGAACCGACGCGGTCGCGGTGAGGGCGAGCACTTTGGTCGCGCGATCGATCACGCGACCGAGCCGCAGGAACGCCGGACGAAAGTTGTGCGACCATTCACTCACGCAGTGCGCTTCGTCGATGCAGACGACGCTCACGTGGATGCGCGCGAGGAGGCTGGCAAACCCGGCGGTCACGACCCGCTCCGGCGACACAAACAACAGTTTGAGCTGATTCTCGACCACCGCTTTGACGACCCGCGCTTGGTCGGTTTTGAATTGCATCGACGACAACGACGCGGCGCGGCCTTGCAGTGGCGCGGGCAGCTTCGATAGCTGGTCGTGCATGAGCGACACAAGTGGCGATATCACCAGCGTGAGCCCCGGTAGATACAGCGCGGGCAGTTGATAGCACAGCGACTTGCCCGCCCCGGTTGGAAGCACCAGAAGCGACTTGGATCGACCGTGGGGGTCTTGCAGGAGGCGGTCCACGGCCCACTGCTGGCCAGGTTTGAAATCAGCATGACCAAACATGACGCGGAGCGAGTCGAGCGCCGATTCGAATCGAGGAATCGGCGGGACGACGTCCGTCGGCGTCCACCACGCCCGTGTCACGGCGGTCGGGTGGTTCTGTTCCCAGAGGAAAAAGTCGCATCGCCCTTCATCCATGCGCCGTGTGCATGCAAAGAATGCACGACCATGGTTCTTGGTTTTCTTGGTCACGATGAGGCGGTGGCACGGGATGCCGTGGGCGCAACAAGGCAATGGAATCGAGTCATCGTCAGCTGACTGCGTGAAGGAAGATGGCAACGAAGGAGGAGGGCTGCTCGGGTGTGCAAGACACTCCTCGACAATATCGATGCCGTCATACACCATCGGGTCTTTGGCGTCGGCGGCGTCGGCCTGCTTGTGCGTCGAGCTGGACACTCCTTCCTCGTCGACTTGGTTGTACATGGTGGAATGGAGGTACTGCGGTCGCTTCTTGGCCTTTCCCGTGCTCCCTCGCACGCGTTTCCGCATGGTCAGTCGGACAAAGTTGTCGCTGACAGAGGTCGACCCTCGTTCGCGATGGACTTCCTTCTTCGCAAACTCTTTCCACGCACTCAAATCGGCATCCATTTTGCCAGCTGCGAGTGGTGCTACCTTCCACTCAAGAGTTTTGAGCGATTGGGACGGCATTGCCTCGGGTGTAGGAGTTGTCAGTTGTGAGGGAAGCGAGCTGTCGACGGGACGCCTCGGACGAATTGCAGACTGGACGAGTGCATGGCTTTGTGAAGGAACTACATGCGTACGACTGCTGTCCAGTGGAGCTGGCGCTGATGTCGCGATGGCGAGCGCGCATTTATCTGCCAATGCGGTCACGGCCCCGTTCCAATGTTCTTGAGCAGGAGATGACTCGTCATTCAGAGCCGTCGTGGCGGTGTGCTTTTTCTCATCTTGCTCCACAAGATCCGCTTTTGCACGTACGTCTTGTTGCAGCGACTCGAGCTTTCGTTTCTTCTTGAGTTGTTTTCGTTTCTCAAACATTTGCAGGAGCCGCGCTTCATCTTGTTTGGCTTGATGAGCCTGGACAGGGTCCGTTTTCTTCGTTTCTCGTCGAGGCCATGCGACCCCAGCCTTCCCACTCAAGTCGGTTGGTATTTCTCGCTTCGTTGGCCACGCGGCGGTCGTCTTTTTGCCGCCGTCGTCGACCTTGGCGTCGTTGCGGCGCGGCCACGACATCTTCGCGCCAAGAATTGAATCAAACCGGGCCGACATATAGAATTTCAAAGGTGTTTCCATTCTCAATTGAGTAACCTACAAAATTGAGTTGACTTGGATGGACCAATCAAACCGCGCGTCGTTTCATCTTTTCACCGGGACGATGGCCGTGCTTCGACGGCTCACGGTGACGAACGCCACCGTGCCGCGCTCCGTCGATTCAAATGCATCGCATAGGTTTTCACAGCTCTGAAGATGTCGGTTTTGGTCCTTGGCGCGACCTCCGCCGCAGCGCCGTGCCCGTACGCGGCCTACAGAACCACGATTTGTCGATCGTACTGCGTCCAGCCCGATGCTGCCCTGTGCATTGTCGATGGCAATTGCAAGGTTGGTTCGAGCAGCTTTTGCTGCAACCTCCATGATGTGGAGATTAGATCTGTACGAACGAGCGTAGGAGCTCGTGTCGTACACTCGTCACAACGTGATCAAGGACCCGATCACATCCGCCGACATCCTCGTCGTTCGTGGTACCCCCACCATCCTTCCGCATCATGCTGCATAAACAAACACGTTGCCGGGGGGTACAGGTCCGGCCGATTACCTTGCGGAGCTTCCGCTTCTCGCCAACACCATTTTGTACGTTGGCTACATGACCCACTCGCTCGACTCTGCCACGAACGAATGACGCCAGTCAATATTCCTCTGCCAACATCAAGTTGGTCGGCGACCTCACCAACACGACGCTTGGCGACGCCATCCAATTGTGCGCTCGGATCTCCCTTGAATAACGTTCAGTTGATACGCGCGCTGTAGGCGCATCGTCAGTAACCGCGGCATCTCGTTTGCCCGAGCCACGTTTCCATCGTCGCTGTCGGCGCTGTACGTGGCGGCACTCGACGCTGACGACCAGTGCTTACGCTGAAATGGATGGATGCTTGCCCAGGTCTATCGAGAACAACGGCCTAACCGACCTTCCGCCCTCCATCCCATACGCGTCCCTGTCCGACTTGTCCGTGTGTTTCCCAACCTGTGTAGTACATTCCCTGACTTGGTGCGGTAGCGACGCATCCAACAACCAACTCACGAGCATTGCAAACGTCGACTTTCGCCGTGCGAAAGCGCTGGCATTCCGAGGCAACCCCGCGCTCACTTCGTTTGCCAACGTCCGGCTGTCGCCCGCGTTGACGTCGTTGTACGTTGTGCGGAATATGCCACCGTGCTTCACCGTCATCCGCGGTCTCATGCAGAGACTTTGGTGGAGCCGTCTTGACGACGTTCCTTGTCGACGAGTCGTCCTTTCGAGCGCTGGACTCGCTCACGATGTTCCGCGTCAGCGCGATCGACGTGTCCGCGACGTGTCGACTGCCCAACGCCCCACGCTTTTTCAAACGCGACACGATTTGCGTGATTCCAGGTCGGTCGGCCCTCGCATCGATGCGCCGAGAACGCAACTAAACGGCGAGCCGCGTGCGCTTGTTGGTAGACCCGTCCGCCTCGGACGGCGGCGGGTCCACGTCGTCGGTCCCGCCCCAGTTCGGCTGGATGGTTGCGCTCGCGATCGGCGACGGGTTTGTGCTGGGAGTCGCCGCCTGGTTTATCTACACGCGGCGTCAGCGCCGTGCGTCGACGAAAAGGTCCGCGCGCCATGCATGTCAATCCAGGCACCGCATCACGTCCATGTGCAGGCATCGCGACACCAGCGGCCGTTCGACCCAGTGGACAAGCAAAGAGTGCGAGGCCATGACAAATGTCGCCATGGCAACCCGTCCAACGTAGGTCGTTCGGTGCGACCGCCGACTTTAACGTCGAGCACGCCCAACGTGCTGCGCGGGTCCGTTGCGCCGCTTCCCATTCACATGGACGTACGTTCTGTCATGCGACGGCGGCGTTGACAGCGCCGCAGGACTTGGCGCTCGTTCGACTCGATGAGTCCAAGCTGCGCAAGAGCCACGTGGTTGCCCGGGGTGCGTACGGCGAAGTGTGGTACGGCGAGTACAAACGTATGACGATCGTGATGACTCGCGGCGCCGTCAACGTGGCATGGGTAGGCGACCCCGTCGCAGTCAAGTGCATGCTGCCAGGCAAACGCGCGGCAAGCGATGTGCAATGCCTCGTTGATGAAATCACGCGCACGGTCAAGTGCGGGTGCCAGGCGCCGCGGTGCGTGCTCACGTGTTTCCAGGTTGACCAGTCCATATATTGCCCACACGATCGGCGCGAGTTGGGCGACGCCCGCGGCGCTGGAAATGGTTGTCGAGTGGATGGACAGGGGCGACTTGAAACAAGGGCTGGACCAAACCAAGCCGCCGACGGACCCGTCGACGGCGTTTCCGTGAAAAGATCGCGTGCATGCTGGCGATCGTCGAAGGCCTTGTCTACCTCCATTCGCTCGACATCATCCACCGGGACCTCAAGTCGCGAAACGTGCTCGTCGATTCCACCAAAGTCATGTGTGGTGCCGCGACCGCATGCGCTGACTTGCTGCGTTTCCAGGGCACGAAACTCACCGACTTTGGGGCGTCGCGGGAGGCCACCAGCGACACGATGACGATTGGCGTCGGCACGTATCGATGGATGGTGCGTTGGGCTCGGTCGCCCGGTCATGTCCCAGCGCTCGTTCGAGGCCCCCGAGATCCTCAAAGAAAACGACTACACGGTCGCCGCCGACATGTACTCGTTTGGGATGGTCGTGACCGAGCTCGACTCGCACGAGATCCCCTACACCAACCTGACAAACGGAAAAGGTTTGTCGGTGGCATGCTCCCCCTCCCAAACGATTCGTTTGTGCGTAGGCAAACCACTGGTCGACACGGCCATCATGAGCATGGTCATGCATGGCGACATCCACCCCGCGCTCACGGCCCAGTGCCCGACATGGATCAAGGACCTCGCGCTCCAGTGTCTCGCCATCGACCCGGCCAACCGGCCCACCGCCATCCAAGTGGCTGCGGTCGTGCGGAAACATCTCCACGGGATGCATGATGCAGCAGTCGACGGACGAGATGGCGGTCTATCGTGCATGCCGCGCTTGCCATAGGGCATCGCATGGCCGCCTCGAGTGACGAGGCATTTGGTGGTCGCCACCGTCCCGTTGCAAACGATCGAGTCGGTTAAGTGGCCAACGCGACCATGCTTGCACTGGTGATTTTGGGACCAGGCGCTGGCACACAGGAGGATGGCAGCAACGGGATGTTGTGCACACTTATTTGCTGTCGACCGATGACGCAAAGCCCGCTGCGCCACCTCGAGTTTACCGAGTTCACGGACGTCCGCTTCGGGTCCCAGGCCGGGCCGTTCGACGTCACGATGGCCACTGTCCGCGGCAACATGCCGTTGCAATTGTGGCTGCGGTGTGCCAACACTGATGCGAAATGGTGTGGCTCGCTGGTTGCATGCGAAGTGCTTCATGACGTGGGTAGGGAATGCACGGTGCAGGACACTGCCGTCGCTGCGACGGGCATCGTGTTTGTTTGGGACAACTCGAGCGTGATCCATGCACTAGCAGTAAGCCGTCACACAGTCTCGATCGTGACTGCCTGCCTGGATGACATGTCGCTTTTGTCCAGGCGGCGCTCAAGTGCAGTCGACGAGAGCCGCTGCCAACCGTGGAGAAGGTGGGCGAGTTGGATCTGGAATGGAACGGCTCGAACGAGCCGGCCATCGTGCTAACCATCGACCGTGGCTCCGCCCTCGAATCCACGTACACATTTCGGTTCGTGCGATCGGCAGTGGCGCCCATCGCCGTCTTGCAAGCCACCGTAGATAAACTGGAGCGGGAAAACCACGTCCTCCACCGCGCACTCGCGTCGCCGACGTCTCCGATCTCGGTCGTTGTTACGTCGAAAGCCAAAGTGCCCCGCGACACGTTCTTGACGTGGACCGTCAGTGGATGGCTTGATCCATCCCAGTTCGCGTTGACGACCCTCATGGACGCCGTGATGATGGTCCACCCTGGAAAGTATTGCATCTCTGTCCGCGGTCAGTTTGATCACCGCCATGGACACAACGCAATCGTGCTGTTTCTCAACGGCGTCGCAGTCATGGCGTCCCCTGGAAACAAGGCCGTGGATACCGTCGACATTGCTCATGTGGTCGACGTGCCAGCGAACGCCTGCGTCCAAGTGCTACACCGAGGAGGCTCCGACTTGAATGCCGGGGCCACGTTGGCGTTGTACTGGCTCGCCGCTTCGGAGCGTTGCGCTTGAGAGGGCGTTGCCTAGCTTAGTTGCAGCGCGTAGCGAGCCTGACGCATTAAGCTACGTCGTGCAAGTGCTCGTGCTGTCTGTGTTCGAGCCTCGAGCAGGCCGCAGCCTTTGACGCAGTTGGCAATGGCACAATTTAAAATCCTTTCGAATGTTTAAAATATAGAAAATATTTTAAATTGATGGGAAGCATCTGACTTGATGTTTGTATGCAATGTACCAAGAATTATTTACGCAGCGAGAGTGATGATCTCCAAATTCTTCAAATCGCGTGAACAAATTGCGTTTTCACAGGATGATGAAAACGGCCCTGCGAAGCGATGCTGCCGGTTCATTCGATCGGTCGGCGGCATTTATGGGCCACGAGTATGCCCTGGAGGCGGAAGAGTGCGCCCAGGCCGGAAATGTGCGTAGGACTGCCATGTCTATATGCATGGGAGTGTCTCCTTACCGCTGTGTCTGGAACTTGAATTCGTAGTTGCGGAGGGCCGAGCAGTTGGAGCGACTTGCCAGCAGCAGTTATCTTCGCGCGATGGACTCAGTACGTCAAGAAGACAAAAAGACACGTGCAGCATTAAAGCTCATTGCGGACAACCACGAGCAGCGCGCAATGCGGTGGCATCGGACGCTGACGATGAATCAGAGCCCGCACGCTGCTACCACTGCAGCAGCTGTGGGTCCCTCCCACATCGTAACCACCACGGCAACACCGACACCTTCCGAGCGGTACGGACCATTTGATCTTATGCCGCCGACCAATGACCCAAACACCACGTCCACCGCAACGACACACGCAGACGACGACAAGAGCCTCTCCCTTCGAACAGCTGCGTCGGAAATGGAGGAGCTTTATGAACGGCTCAAGGAGCTGGGCCTCGGACCATCTGCATCGCGAGGCCATCCCTCGCAGCCGCACCACCATGCCCAGAATTCTCATCAAAGTATGCCACAGCAACAACATCTCATGAAGCAGCACTTGAGTTCGGATTTGGGCGACTCGTTCTGTTTGTTGCCGAAGGCTTCTCTGGGAAAAGCACCGTCGTCGTCATTGGCGGCCCATCGAGTTGACGGCGGCGCGACGCTCAAGGCGGCTGCTGCCCACCGCATGAAGAACCAGCGCGAAATGTACTCTTTGTCATATCTCCCTGTGCTCGGTTGACCCACCACGAACATTTTGTAGGTTAATGGAAAAGCAGGGGAGCCGGAGAAGCTTTGGTGGGTAAATTGCAGCCATGGTCTGCATATAGCTCACGCCACGATATAGATCACGCGCTCACCACTCCAGAGAAGGCCATGCATCAGCCGTCCGCATCGCCTGCTTCTGCCGAGGTAGACGATGGCGCTCCATTTCCCTGCACGCATTCACAGGTTTGTCCATTCCAGCGAACGACATCGTCCGACGGCTCCATGGACGTCGAGATTGACCAGCTACGGACGGCGTTGGCGCACCAGAAGTTTGAGGCGAATCGGTTGATGCACACAATCAAGACGCTCGGGAGTGAAAACGCCAGGCTCATTCAGGTACAGTCCATCGAAGCGCCCTTCTTAGGCGGTATGGCGCAGGACACCGAGTCGATGGCGCGGCTGCGCGAGGAGAACAAGCGGCTCGTGCATGCCATGGACGAGTTCAAGGCCGAGTACCATCAAAAGGCAAGCCACCGTCGTGTCCGTGCGAAGGGCACTAACGAAAGCATTTAGTTCGCCGTGCTCAAGCGAGCACTGGAGGAGTGGTGGCGCCAGGATGCGACCAACCAGAGCCAGCGCAGCCACGACACGTCGAGGCAGTCGATGTACGTCCGAGTCTAGAAAACGGCATGCCTGAACACGCGCCGTGTAGGGAAGCGTTGGAAAGCAAGATGGAAGCAGATTTGCAGATCTTGCGGGACGAATTGGCAGCTGAAAAGGAAGCCAGTCGTCAAAAGGTATGGCGCGTGCATGTTGCTCGTATGATCATGGCGGTGGTCGCAGGACGTGCAGCTGCAACGATACGAATCCTGGTTCAAGTCGCTCAAGGCGTCGGCGAAAGCAAAGCAGCAGACCCGCGAGTTGAATGCTGGGGGCGACAGTGGACGCAACTCGATGACGTCGTCGTTTGAAGTAAACCAAATGCCGCCGGCCACGTCGACGACGCGGCGGGAGCTGTAATCGCCTCGATCGCGCATCGTGCGCACACTGTATGGGCCAACAACTCACGGTTTTGGTCGTCTGCGTTGGGATTATCATGGCAAGGACTACAAAATACCATAGTTTCGCTCGAACGCGTTGAGCAGGCGACTGATTGCCTGCGCTCCACTCATCTACCGCGACAGATCAGGACAAAGCAGCACGGCGAGCAAGACGAACCGGGTACTCGGACAGCGAGATCATTTCGTCCACCTACGGAGGAAGTGTGTGTGACAATGGAATGACATGGACGAATCAAGACGAACGTATGGGCACATTTCTTTGGTAATGTGGCCGTGCGCCATGGCGCCGAGTACAAACACGACAGGTTCTTTGGGAAGCTCTGCCGCAAACTCCCAAGGATCGACGAGGTCGCCGGTGACGGAGCAGCCTGGTGGACAGGATAAGAAGCGATGGACGGAACGACGACATGTACCATATTTTTTGCAGTTTGGGGGAAAGTGCGCGTCGACGGGGTTCTGGATTACCTTCAACAACGTCGTCTTGCCATCGGACGATCGGATCTTGAGCGCATGGAGCAATTGCACTAACGCAATGTCAACTACGACAACCGACAGCGTGCGAACGTACCCATGAGCCCCGCAAAACGCTTGTACGTGCGGGGAATGCGCATTTGGGAGCTCACTTGAATGAGTACGCCCTTGGCACTGCGAATGAACACCTGTGCATGCCAAGATGTTGGCGTCCACGTGTAGTTGATGTCGTCAGAAACGTATGTACCTTGAGATGACCGGCTTTGTTGAGCGGACTGTCGAGCAGCGCCATCAATTCTTGGTGCAAAATGTCTGGCCGCGACGCCGACGGGTCCTTGTTGTGTTTTTTGTGAATGCCCTTGTGGTCATCGCAGTTGAGGAGCTGGTACCCGCGCGTCGTCTTGACTGTCTCGAGCGAAGCGTTCTCAAGTACGACGATCACTTGGGGCTTCGTGTCGACCTTGGCGGACATGGCGGAAATGCAACTGCATCATGTCGGCGGCACCAATCGAATTCGAGTGGACGTATTTGATTTCAAAGTGTATACTTATTATAATATACAGGATATGGGTTTAAACAATTATGGAATCAAAGAGGCCGTGCAAACCCCACAGGACCATCGTGCCGAGCAAGTCAAACGCGGCCATGGGAATGCGCGGTGCAGCGACCGAGGTGATGGTGGTGGAGCCGACGGGCGGCGACGCGCCGCCAGGGATCTTGTTCGCGTTCGAGACGAGCGGTGTTGTTTCGCTGTCGGAGGATTGAGACGACGACACCGCTGGCCTGATGCACCTGCTCGTCTACACACTCGTCGTCGTGAAAAAGGTCGGAACAGAACGTGATCATACTTCATCGCCGTGCTGGAAGAGCTGCACGGATTCAACTTGAACGTTGCGCACGCGGACGAGACCAGCGAGTTGAATGGATTTTGCCACGGACGATGGCTCGGTCGTGGTGAGTGACTACGAAACAACGTTGAGCATCGCGTCGAGTACATGGAAGCGCATGGATCATGCCTCAAGGGTGGTGTAGATGTTGCCCAGCGTAGCCACAGCGAGGCGCAGCGTCACAAGACTGCTGCCCAAGTCCGACGCCGGTGCCTTCGAGTTCACGACAATCGCTCGTGGCTCGACGGTCGTCACCTGGTGGTTGCATGAGCCTTTCACGACGGTAGGGACACCAACGCGATGGACTTACCTTGGCCGAGGAATCGTCCGTGTTGAGGAATGCCAACAGTCCGTCGCGGAACGAGTTGACGACTTGCTGATTGAAATACGGGGGCGAGTACCCGTCGACACTCAGCACGACGTCCACATACTGATCGTTGTCGAGAGGCTTCTTGACGCAACCGCCGAGCAGGCGCGACGTCGTGGTGCCGTCGGGGCATGTAGAACACGCGGCCGAGTCCGGGGACAGACATGTCGATCCGGCAGGGCACGTGCAAGCAATGCACCTCGTTGCGCCTCCTGACGAGTGGTAGCCAGCTGCGCATTGCACGCACCCACCAGTCTTTCCATCCGAGCCGGCGGCGGGCGGCGTGGCATGTCCAGCTTTACACGTTGCGGCCTCGCACTGGCTTGAGCCGCCTTTGGAAACGTACCCTGCCGTACATGGAGCGCACTGGTCCACTTCGACGTCCGAGCCCTGATGACCGTGATGGCATCTTTAGAACGTGGTGCCGAAGGATGACGTGGTGTGTCGGCATCGTCTTACCGCAGGGGAGCTGTAGCCAGGGAGGCAGCTCGTCGGCTTGCATTGGACACTCCCGCCGGGGGAGAAATGCCCGGCAGGACAAACGTCGCACTTGTGTACGCTTCGATATGCGCCCGTGACGTTGGAAGCCCAGCCAGGTGGACAAGCCATCGGCGCGCAGTCGAAGCCCCCTCCTGGAGAAAAATGGCCCGGTTCGCACTCTTTACAGCTTCCCGTAGCTGAAATTGCCCCGGCAGGCGACCCACTGCCTCGCAAACACAACGTTTTCGCGCATGGAGCGCCTCCACCAGCGCTGAATTGGCCAGCGCCACATTGAACACACGACCCGTTCGTCGAGTTGGCGCCCTTTGACGAGGCGAAGCCAGGCAGGCACGTTGTCGGACCTGCGCATGCGCTGGTTCCGCCAGGAGAGTACGTTCCAGCGTCACAGAGGACGCAGTCGGCAACTGCATCCTTGGCTCCAGCAGGAGCCGACGTGCCTATTTGACAAGGGTTAGCCCAGGATAGTTGGCTTCGACGGCAAGTGCACGAAGGATTATACCTGGTGAACAAGTTGTTGGCTGGCACTGCGCAGCGCCGCCAGGACTGAACGAACCTTGGGGGCAAATCGCGCACGACCCGTCGGGAGTGTCGGCTTGAGCGGGCGATGCATACCCAGGCAGGCAGCTCGTCGCCTTGGATACGCTTCCACCGCCTTCGCAATACGTCCCGGCCCCGCAAATCGTACAGTTTAACAACGGATCGACGGCGCCTGCCAGCGCGGACGTTCCATGGGCACATGTTGTGTTGGCGCATTGGAACGCCGCCCCGAGGCCGAATTGCCCCGCCGGGCACACCGTGCATGTGTCTCTCGCACTGACAGCTCCTTTGGCGGGTGAGGCAGTCCCTGGAGCGCAAGTCGTAGCGATGCAAGGGTGGCTCGATCCTGGCGAAAAGTACCCGCTTTCACAAACCGTGCACGAGCCGCGAGGCGAGGTCGCCCCTATCAAACATAAAGTTGCAACACGAACAACCACATTACGGCACGCGGACCGCTTGGCTTACCTTCAGACGAGCCCGAGCCAGGCTCGCACGTGCACGGAGCACATGCCGTGGTTCCTCCAGGACTGTAAAACCCCGCCGCGCACGGAGCACATTGACCGGTGGCGGTGGTCGCGCCGCTCGGGGACGCTGTGCCCGGTGGACACGTCGTGTCTTCGCACTGCTTGTCACCTCCAAGCCCAAACTGGCCAGCAGGGCACATGGTGCAATTGCCCTTGCCTTCCGGAAGGAACCATCCGGGGGCGCATTGTCCTGGAGCGCACTGGTCACTCCCGCCAGCGCTGTACCAGCCAAGCGGGCACAGCTTGCAGCTCCCCTTTTCCAAGTGGATGCCAGTCGTCGACGACGCATACCCCGGCGGACACGTTGTCGGTTTGCACGGTTGGTTTTGGCCGAGCCCGAACGTTCCCACGGGGCAATCGTGGCAATCCATCGGCGACGTCGCCCCTTCCTGCGTGGCCTGGCCAGGTGGACACAGCGCGGGTTTGCACACAGCCGCGTCGGCCGTCGAGTAGCTTCCCTCGCGGCACAGCGCGCACGTGTTGGTTTGTTCCGGCGCGAACGAACCGGCAGGACACAACACCGGCGCACAGAGCGCCGACCCGCCGTTTGCATACGTCCCCAAAGGGCACCCCGTGCAGTCGGCCGCGTGAATCGCCCCTTCGTTCGCCTCCCATCCGGCCGCGCACGTTGCTGGTTTGCATTCGGCTTGACCTGCCGCCGCGAAGAATCCGCGGGCGCATGTAACACACGGACTCGACTTGCCGTCCGACGATTGACCGTCGGCGCACGACTCGCAATCCGCTACGGGATCGACTGCGTTGGGTTTTCCGGTGAAGCCCCGCTGGCACTGCATGGGCTGGCACGATGCGTTGCCGCCGGGCGAATAGAAGCCGACGGCACACACAGCGCATGTTTGCGATGGATGGGACGCCGTCGTGTCATTCGAGCTCGAGCCCGGAAGACACGTCGTGGGGGTGCAGGGAAACGCTCCTCCGAAGCTGTAGTGCCCTGGTCCACACGGGGCACATGCTTCCCCAGTGGACGACCCGGCGGGGGTGCCATAGCCGGGAAGACAAGCGGCATCTTTGCATGTGGCATTGCCCCCGCTAGAGAACGTGCCAGCAGGGCAAAGCTTGCAGTCCGTGGGGGTCCCGGCGTGGTCGACGGTGGCGCTCCCAGCGGGACACGTGGCCTGGTTGCAGGTGGCGTTGCCGCCTGCGCTGTAATGGCCATCGAGGCACTCGACACAGTCAAACGCGTGCATCGGGGGCGACTTGGGTTCGAAGCCAATCGCACACGTCGTCGGTTCGCACGTCGTCATGTTCTTCAGCGTGTACGTGCCAGCCGGGCATGGCGAGCAGAGATCGCTGCCGCCGTCCGAGATAAAACCAATATCGCATGCCACACAGTTGGAGACAGGATCCGATGCGCCATCGAGACTCTCTGTGCTGGGGGGGCACATGGACTCGTGGCACGGCGTCCCTTTGCCAGGCGAAAAATGGCCCGCTGGACAAATCGAACAAGTGTCGCCATCATCGTTCGGCTCAAAGCCAGGGTCACATGGGGGGCTCATGCACAACCCGGCGTTTCCTCGGGAATTTGTCGCTTTGGGGCACTTGGTGCACTCGGTGGGACCTCCAGCGTGGTCGATGGCTTCCGTGCCTTTCGGGCACGTGGCAGGCTGGCAGGTGGCCGTACCCCCCGGGGAATAGTACCCGCGTGCGCAACCTGAACAATCCTGGACGTGTGTGGCGAATGCGTGGGGTTCCGTCCCAGCGGGACACGACACGGGCTCGCAAACAGCGCCATCGCCGGTGGAATACGTCCCGATGTCGCACGCCATGCAGTTGGCTGTGTCGCTGGACGACCCGGAAGGCGCAAAGTAGCCTGGCACGCACTTGGCCGGAGCGCAAATCGAGTCGGCTGTCGCGTACGTTCCGCTGCCGCACTGCGTGCAAGTCGTTGCGACTCCGCCTGGAGAGACCCATCTACATGCGAGTGTCACGTTGCGTCGTCACGAGATGCGCAACGTCGTACCCAGCCTCGCAGCGCTTGCAGCTATCCACGCCATCCCAAGCCAATTCAATCGCGACAAACCCAGGAAGACACGTCGTGGGCTCGCACACCGCCGAACCACCGGTCGAAAACTTGCCCAAGTCGCACGGGCGGCAGTCCGAAGTAGATGTTGGGTTTGTCCTGGGCTCTGTGCCCCGTGGGCATTGCATCGGTGCACAATCACTGGTACCCCCGGCTGAAAACGTTCCATAGTCACAAGGGAAGCAATCAGTCGAGTTGGTTGCGTGTTCGACGGGTTTGGAATTCAAGGGGCATTCCAGCGGGCTGCACGCACCGTTGCCAGCGAGACTAAACTGTCCAAGGGGGCAGTCGTGGCACACGTCGTTGAGGCCCGTCGAATACGTGCTGGCAGGGCATGGTTTGCATGTATCTGTGGCGTCGGTTGCGCCGACAGCATTGCTAAAGTAACCAGGGCTGCACTGAATGACTTCACAAGGAGTTTCGTCATCGCGGTCGCTGTAGTATCCGGCTGGGCACGTCATGCAGTCTGTAGACGATGTAGCGCCGGCCTTCGGGCCTTCTCCCGTCGTGCATTTGACGGGGCGCTGACATAAGGCTGTGGAACCGTCTGACCAGCTTCCGGCACGGCATTCGACGCAGCTGTCCGTGGCGGCGTCGTAGCCGAGCCCGGGCGAGCAGAACGAGGCATGGACACCCGAGGCAGTCGTCAGAACCAGCCATGTTGCAGCCGCGACTGCTGCTGCCTTTGCCGTCTTCCGGTTTGAGCCCATCGCGGACGGTGCCAAAGTCGAAATACATGCCGCCATGACCGCGATGTGCCGAAAGGTCGCGATTTGAGATCTTTCGAACACGAACGGACCAATCGGATCCCTCGATTTCGTGGAAGGTTGCCAAGATCGCGCGGCGTTTGTTCCACCCGCACAAGAAATTCGAGCGAAGATGAAGGTGGTCATGGCGTCCGCGTTGGCCGCCACGACCGTCGCTGTTGCGACGCAGCTGGCGTCGGGGACCCCTTCCTCCCGCGCTATCCACGTATGCTCGTCCAGTGTTGCCGCGCTCAATGGCGTGTACGAAGTGGACGAGTCCCTTCGCTCGGACAACGCACCCGTGTTTACACGCACGGATGAAGATGGCGACGACATCGCAACAAGCGATTATCGCCTTTTTCGCCACCAAGGGTTTTGGGCATTTGCAAACTTTGCATCGTGGCCTCCTGAGGTTGAATTCCGCTGCGACCCGTACCGAAACAACCATGAAGACAGCGTTGCTTGTGAGAAGGACCAAGTCGAGCCGCCGCTCCGCGGGTACACCTCCCGCCAATCGGTCTTGTCGCGACCTCCGACTTTGCAGCTGCACCCATGCAGCGTCGACCTTGGCGTGACAGAGGTATAATGAACAAGGTCGCTCGATGGTGCCAGTGTTATCGTGGCTCAATTCCAACGCACAGCGAGCTCTTCAGCTTGAAACGTAATCTTCGCCATGAGAGCGACGTGGTCCGATGAATACTTGTGGTTTGGAAGCCAACGGTGCTGCCGCCGTGGGTTAGGCACTCGCAGCACTTCAGTCGACCACTCGCCCATGTAGGGAGTTATTGTCGCGCCGATTCGTCGCGGGGACAATGGTTCTGGCATGGCGCACGTGTCCCATCCGTCTGGGGCGTGGCGGACGTAATCTACGCTGCCGCCTTGACTCTCGAGTGAAGTGGGGCGGGGGGGCGCGACATACCAACATCAGGGACCGTCTCCAGCTCCCGCGCGTCGTCTCCTACAAGGGACACCAAAGGCGGCAACGACAGCACTTCCACAGCGGCCAATTCCTGCGCCAGCGTTCTCTGGTGTGGTCGGTGCATTCGACTCGTCGTTTGTACTACCTTTTTCGAGTAAAAGATGTAGTCGACGGTACCCGTGAACGTGTGATCTGCAAAGGTATAGTCGGGCTCGCCATCGAGTTGATACCGTCCGTACGCGCTATCAAACACTTCAAAGTGCACAAGCTTGTCTTCTCGGTCGCCGCGGACGTGCACGGATTCGTACGGGGCAGTGGGTACGTGGCTAGGGCGAGGGCACAAATCTGTGCAAATGCCGCCGTCTGTGAACCGCGGCGTTTTGCCGGAATTGTACGACGTCTACACGAGGCGTGGCGCATGGCCGTGTAATGTCCAAGTTGATGGAATGGACTGCGCGGCACCTTGTATGGAGACGTTGCCATGTATGGCATCCCCGGCACAGGCAGCACCACGGGGGGTTTACTGGGATCGACGATTGCTCGTGCCTTATAGAGTGCACGATCATCTCACATGTTGTCCCGTGGGACATCGTACCGACCTTGAGCGTTTGAATCGGCTCGGATGGAATGCTGTATTCGCTCCAGCCTGCAGCGTTTTTGGCCGAGATGCAAAACTCGTACGTGTTGCCGGCGCTGAGCATGGTGGCGATATAGTCGACTTGGCTCGGGTTGTCGAGCATGACCTCGTGCGAGAATCCGATAGTGGTGCTGCAGTTCACCCGACGAACGAGTCGGTAGCCTAGAATTGGCCCATGCTAACGGGTCTACACTGTCAAGAGAGTTTTCTCGAGCTCATCGATGACTTACAGCGGAGACGGGAGGCACCCATGACAGCGTTATGGTGCTTGTTGTCGGGTCACGCGCAAGAGGACGGTTCATTCTGGCGGGAGGTTCCGGCTCGGGACGTGGGCGTCCTGTTCGCATGGTGTGGTAGACATGGCTGACAGGTGTCGCGTTGAATGAGCCAGCGATCACGATCGGTAGGTGGAAATCCGCGTTGAATGCTTCGACTTGAGGAAGGACGAACGCAAGTTGGTGCTGCCGAACGGGTTCGAGGTTGGGGTGGCTGGCCAGTTGTAAGTTGGCTACAAAAGTTGTGGTCGTTCTTCGTGAAAGAGTTTGAATTCCTTTGTACCCACGCAAACGGCGCTGGGAAAATGGCATTGCTCCCACGGCTGGAGTGCCACGATCAAGGCGACGTTGTCCTGTTGGAGCTTTGAAGCAAAGTTGGGTGCGATGGACGGGTCATTGCAGAGATCGTTCAGGTTGATGCGCAACGTGCGAAAGATTTGAAAATACATGCGGCGGAAAGCAATGACAAGACCGTCGTCAAAGTCACCGGTGCGCTGATGGTACACACTGTCGTAGCCTGCCGCATTCAGTCGCGGGACCCACCACAGGGTAAAGTCGTCGACCTCCTGGAGGCAGAGGATGTCGGCGTTGTAGCTCAAGAGTTCCCTATACGTGGCACTTGTTCAGATGCGCACGGGGCGAGCGGAAAATCGTCTCACTGGAAGATTTGGTCTTTTCGTTTGGTTGCGGTGAGGACAGCAGGGTCGCAGTACGGCTTGTAATCGGGGGTAGCGTGCATTTGACGCATTACGTTGTACGTTAACACGGAGACGGACTCCCGTCCTTCACGTGCATCTTGCTCGATGGAGCTCACAGGGACCATCCGACGGCCGCCATACAGGTCACCCGTTGGCGCATCCATGTCGGCGATGCGAATTTCAAGCACTCGACGTGATTGGTGGGAAGGGAACCAATCATGTCTGGCGACGTTTCGCACAAAAGATCGGACCCAAAAACAACAAAACGGCGACGCGAACGCGGATGGAGCGAACGCCGCCGTCTCCAACTCGGGCTGCGACGGCGCCAGCAGCGGGGTCCCCGACGCGCCTATCGCCGAAGAAACCATCCATCAAGGATATCACGTCAACCGTGCCGGATGTTCCACTCGACTTCTCGTTCATGAACTTGCCTGCGATCATGGGTAAGGCATGAACATGTCCATGTCCACTTTCCCTTGCACCACGCATGACAATTCCTCTTTAGATATTCTCAAGGAAGAACCAGTGTCAGGGAGAAAAAAGGCGGAAAACGCTGATGTTGCCGTACGTCCAAGGCGCACTGCTTGACAGGCTTCATGCGCATTAGGTTGTACCTGTGCCACAACCCTCTGACGGCACAGCGGGAACTCCGCACACGCCGTTCGAGCCCCCCGTGTCGATTCGACTGAACAACAATTTCTTGACTCATATCGACGACTTGGACAAAGCCCTCTCGGCCGTTTTCGTGAAGCCGTCGCGATTGCAATGGATCGATCTGAGTGGCAACTCGATTGCGACGATCCCTGTGATTGCGTTCCAGCCGTACTTGGAGCTCACGACGGTTCACTTGCACGCGAACCAGCTGTGCAAATACACCGACATTGATGGATTGGCGGTCCTTACGAAGCTTCGCCACTTGACGCTGCATGGAAACCCCGTCGAAGAGAAGAAGCACTACCGGAACTACACTATTCACCACATCCCTTCACTCCTTGAACTCGACTTTAGCTGTGTTACCAAGCTCGACCGCGAGAAAGCCGAGACGTGGAGCATCACGTACCGGAAGAAACTCGCGCGGAGGCGAGGTGAAGAGGTCGATGACTAGCGGTCATGCGCTCTTCTCGATGGTCGGTTGAGGGCAACGATAAAAAGAACTTTTTCAAATTTCGACGTCGAACTACAATTTATAGTATCAAGAAAAAATAGTTTTTCTGATAATTCCACTGCCGGCGGTCGCACGATTGCAGAAGCGTGGCGCAAGCATGGCCGATCGCGATGCCCGAACCACGCAAATTCGTCGCCTCCCCAGAGCGGAGAAGCGCCAGGTAGCATGAAAGTGGACGGCATGGGGGTCACCGCGGTGGCCCTGGTGATCCCGTCATTGTATGCACTGTATGGATGGTACCGTCGTCGACTACACGACGACATACTTGACACCGGCGCTGCGAGTATGAATGGTCCTGTGTCCATCGTGTCTTCCGAAAGGATTCAACTATGTAGCGACACGCACGTCCGCTTCCAAGAAGACCCATCGCACCAGTCGTTGTCTGAGCCCCCTCCAACGCAATTGTCCCCACAAGCCTCGTCCATCCTGTACACAAGCCGCGGAGACGTCACAGTGAATGTTCTCGACAACAACTACCTGAGCAGTGAAGCCCGCGACTACTTTGCCGAAGTGACGGACGTGTCTTCCGAACACGTGCATGACGACGATCTCGTGACCCTACGGCGAGCCGACTTTGATGCAATGATGGGGTTTGTTGCCAAGCATCTCCGCGAAATCCCTCCAAGCATCGTCGTGTCCGCGACGTCGCACTCCATTGCGCCAGGGACATCGCTGGAGACGATGCTGTCCGAACTTGCCGCGACGGACCAAGCCAACACACCCCTCTCCCAGATCATATTGCTCGTCGACGGCAGTGACGACCACGCGACTCCATCGAACGACGGCAGCACGTCCGGTGCATCCGATGCACCATCGTCGTCGGCCGCTCGCGAGATGGTTCGTTCGTTTCAACGATCGCGGGGCGTTCCGCCTGCATCCCGTACGACAGCGTCGTCGTGTCGGCGCTGCGACGAGTGGAATACGATGCCGCCCATGACGACGTTGGTGCCGGTGATGGTGCGTCATGGCAGCCCTGGTACAAAGCCCGCCAACAAAACCAAGGCGACGTCGCCGCCGACCAGCCACCCGAGGCGCATCTGGGAGAGCTTGTTCGGGAAGACGGCGTTCGAGAACAACGCCGACTTGGACCAGTCGTACTTTGTATTCCATTAAGCAACCGCGTCGAGAAATCGCCCGCTTACAACGCAAGTACGTTGCGCTGGACGAGCGCTTGGAAGAGCGCGCCGTGCTGCGCCGACCCGACGAGATACGACAGCGTCGCATGGACGTAGTAGTCGCTGTGCATGGACGTAGTAGTCGCTGTGCATGGACAAATTGTGGAGAATGTCTTGGATCAAGATGGCCTTGCCGACGGAAATGCCTGCGCCATCATCATGAATTTTACCAGCACAACGTGCATACAACGACATACCACATGCCACCTTGACGTGGGTAAAATGCACGTGGAAATGGTAGTACGATGGCTGGTAATGCACAAAGCACCGAACGCTGGACGCCGCGACGCCGTATTTTTCACGGATCACCGCCAGCCCTTTCGCCCTGCCGCCGCCGACATGTCATCGACAAGAGAGAGTTGGAGCACGTACCGCAGACTTTCCAGCATCGGCACGTGCGGCGCGCGCAAATCGCGGACCGATCGAATCGACCGGTCGCGGACAATGGCCAGGCAGTACAAACTCTCGACCTACATGGCACGTCTGCTGCGTGAGACGTCAAAACCATTTTGACTCACGTGATACGGGGCGCTCCACTTTGTATCTGGTAGGAGCACGAAACCATGCGTTGGGTCCGAGTCGTCCAAGATGATCTTCTCGGCTTCACTCGTCCTAGCGCGTCATCGAGAGCCCATCGGCATGATGTTGACGGCTTCGGTACCCATCCAAGATGTTGTACACCCATTGAATCTTCGCAGACGGGATGCTTTCGATGTATGGCAGGGTAATGTTGTTGTAGATGGCGGCGGTCTCTTCAGCCATGTAAAACGATTGCTCCGAGTGCTTGGCAATGTGGGCGGCAGTTGCAGGGTAAATCATCGTCACCTGGGGACGTTGTCCGTGAGTATCGGCGCGAATTAGGACGAAGCAGGACACAGTGCGTACCCGCAACGCATCGTTGTCCCCAGAGAGCACACCGATGTGGTTCGAGTACACGTCGTTTTCATGCATCCGTCGCAGCGTCATGCTACGAATCAGTCGAAGCGCATCCCCGCGACCAAACTTCTGCTTCTGCAAGACCAGAAGAACCTTGTCGGGGTTTCCAGGGAACGTGCCCACCACGCACATCTCGCTATCCATCGCTTTCGTAATGTCCTCGAGTTGGAACGTAGAAAGGTCCACAGCACTGGGGCGTTTGTGACGGCGGGATTGGAGGAAGTAGACGCATGACGCCACAATACACACAGCCGCGGCAATAATGGGAGCCGTCGGAACGCCTGGGGGTGGCCATCACATGGTTGGCGTCATCGACTCCGACGATACCTGTGCCCATCCTTCCACCGGTCAAATTCGCGATTTGATTCGAGTTGCAAATTATTTTTCATTTTCATGGATATCGACGGGACAATGCAATTTTATCAACGTATCGAACATTCGAAGAATGTCGTGCAATGATTGGTTCGACGTCTGGAAAATGTTTTATTTTAGCCAATCAAACGACGAATCGAGAGTACACTTGATCCCGACCACTGACTACGCGGGACTTCGTTTTGAGCAAGATGCTGACTCGAGCTGCAGCCCGCGGCGCGGCCGCCCGCGCTCCGTTGATGCGTTCAGCGACTTCCATGTCGTTCTCGACGGACTCTTCCATGAAGAAGCCTACGTTGGGCGAGGTCGTGGACAAGGCTGCCAACCTCTTCTTCTTGGGGGAGATTGCCCGTGCCACGTGGTTGGCATGGGAAATCCACACCCAAAAGAAGACGACGATCAACTACCCGTTTGAAAAGGGTCAGTTGTCCCCCCGCTTCCGCGGTGAACATGCGTTGCGACGATACCCCAGTGGTGAAGAACGCTGCATTGCGTGTAAGTTGTGCGAAGCGATTTGCCCGGCCCAAGCAATCACGATTGAAGCCGAACCACGTGAAGACGGTGCTCGCCGCACGACCCGCTACGACATTGACATGACGAAGTGCATCTACTGCGGGTTCTGCCAAGAAGCGTGTCCCGTCGACGCCATTGTGGAAGGGCCCAACTTTGAATTCGCGACCGAAACCCACGAAGAGCTGTTGTACGACAAAGCCAAGCTGCTCGCGAACGGCGACAAGTGGGAATTTGAAATTGCCCACAACTTGTCCGTGGAGCAGCTCTACCGTTAAATTCCCCAACGACAATTTTCTAATGCATTCCGTGTTGTTGGCACACCATCTCGCCTTTGAGACGTCACTGAACCAGCGCTTTGATCTTCTTCACAATGTCGTCCACGCGAGCAGATTGCGTGAAAAAGTCGAGGAACTCACCCGACGGACTAATGAGATACATGACGATCGAGTGGTCGACCAGGTACTCTTCGTCTTCGTCGCTGTCGTCGTCGACTTCGGTCTCGTCCGCCTTGGTGAAGTACACGCGGTAAGCCTTCGTTACGTCCTTGACTTGGTCGGGAGTCCCTGTAAGCATGCGCAGTTTCGGGTGGAAGTCCTTCTTGTACGCCTCCATTTGTTCCACCGTGTCACGAAATGGATCGACGGTGATGAAGAGGGGTTCGATGTCTACTTCGGGGATTTTGTCGAGCACTACAGCGTCCCACGATGACACCCGCCAGGCTCGGTGGAGAAAGGGGTCGTGAGCGCACATACCTTCGCCTAAACGCACCAACTCATTCGGACAAATATCCGGGCAATGGGTGAACCCGAAGTAAAGCAGCGTGTGCTTGCCATGGAACGACGCGTTCGTGACGCACGAGCCCGACGCGCAGTCGACCAACGTCCATGGTCCACCCAGGAGCGGCTTGCCCACAGATGTGACCTTTCCCGTCGTTTGAGTTTGAAGACGGTCTTTCTCTGTGTGATAGTATGCCAACGCACCAGCGCCGATCACCCCGGCGAGCGCCATGCTTGCCCACGTGATAGGCTAATCCCCGCGAGTCAACATCACACGTCGTAAGCAAGCAGCATAGACTGCGTACGTACCCCCGCGCTGGACGTGTTCAACGAAGGAGTTTCCTTCGTCGAGAACCGCCGTGAGCCTTTGCCATGCCGCGCAATTTGCCGCAGCATCGTGGAACACCAATGAACTTGCGTCAACCAACACAAAGACAATCCGTGAGGGGTTCAAGAATTATATTTGGAAGGTCCTGTATTTCTTTATCATGACCATCGTGCGTTTCAGTTGTTATCGGCCTTGTCGGCGAAGTCGTCGTACTTCTGCTTGAATGCCTTGGCGATGTGCAAGAAGGGCGCGTCAACGCCTGTTCCAAGGCGCTACAGGCAAGGTGGAGTCTATGAATGATGCATGCATGCCATGGACAGTACCGCGGAACACTCAAAGTACTTCAGGTTGTTTTGGTCGGCAAACTCTTCGGCTTCCTTTTGGGAAATCGCATCCCGGTTGCCTTCTTTGTTGTCCGACTTGTTGCCCACAAGCACACCTATTGCGCAGTTAGTGATGGTGGCATGTGGCCAACAACAAACCGGGAAGATTGTGGTTCGGGGCAAGCTTCGACACATCCTGATACCACTTGGTACACGACTTGAACGATTCCTTGCTGTTCACGTCGAAGACCAACAGGATCATGGACGCGCCTTCAAACTGTGCAAATTGAGTTGACATTCACCCCACTCACAAAGTCGTACGTGGACAGATCCAAACTCGCGTTGGTTGAAGATGCTTTGGCCAGGACAGTCGTGCATGTACAACTCGACGAGAACGTTCGAGTCGGGAATAGGGACTGATTTCACGCACAATTCAGCGTTCGAAGTCTACGCATATGCCATGTAAAGGAATGCAGTCATAGCGTGAGGGGTACCATCACATAGTTCTTTGGGTAATCGTGGCCGTTGCTCTTGAACGATTGCAACAGTGCAGTCTTGCCGACCGCTCCATCCCCAACGACGACAACTTTGCATCGAAGAACCAGCTACGCAAGCGAGACATTGTCACTAGGCCCTTGTTCACGCATCTACCGCCGTACGGTGCTTTTGTGCGTCGTCTCCATGCTGCGAAGGCCCGACATGCTGGCCCGGTTTGCGGCACAATCTTTTGTAAGCCCCGTGAAAAGTCACGCGAAATCATTGGATAAATATATTTATTTTCAACCAATCATGTTGTCTTTGGAATAGACCGGTCGGCAAGTTGGCGCATGACGTGGTGAGCCGCCGCAAGCACTGCAGAGGCCAACTGTGGACAAGCTCCGACTGGAAATGCTTATTGTTCATAGTTCTTAAATGCATTCCTGTCAGCGCCATAGCCAGCCGTGAATGCAGGCTGGCACTCCATGGAGGGATATTGCCAGACGAAACGTAGTGGAAATGGTAACATGCCCAGATTCTCGAGGTGTTGCTGAGATAACAGAATGATTTCTATTAAGGCGAGTCCACTTGACAGCTGAACAGACGTCGGGGACCTTGGAAGACACGAATTGGATGTACAAGGTTAGCAATCTAAGTAGTTGGCCGCCATGAGCAATTCCAGCGCAATCTCGGGCTCGATGACAAAGTCAGGGATCCGCGCATTGCTGTTGGAGAATCGTTTCTTGTAGTACATGTACTGAATGACTTTTTCCAAGATCGGCGCGCTAATGTCTTGGAATCGGATCTCGCCCTTGCTTTCAATGAAATGTCCCGTCAGCATGGCCTTGATCGTGCCAGACACCATGGCGCACTTTCGAGCGATGTAGAACTCGTGCCCTTCGGCGCTAATCAGCTTCACGTACTCCTGTTGGGCCGCAGGGTCGGTCGACGCATCAGCCATGGTTTCCCTCCTTGGCCGTTGTCGAACGAGCGAGTGGGAAATCGAACTCGAAGGGTTATACGGAAATCCGGATAACAGAGAAGGGTATAATTCAACGTTTTCTCTTGTTTTCATGGAAAAAACAATATTTTTCTTGAAGGAAAAAGACACGTGCAACAACATGACCGAGAAGCTGTCGTCATGCAGTCGGCAGCGACACTTGTGACGATAGCGCCGACAACGAACAAAATGGAATACTACTGCTTCAAGCACGTTGATGCTCATTGAGAGATTCCAGTGGCGAGCTGACGAGGTGGCAGGAGCATGGTCTCCAGTGTGCGTCGAGTTTCGATCGTCGGGACTGAAGCAGGAGAGTGCAAGCAATGCATCCATAGAGCGCAAAACTGTATGTATAAGATGGTTTACTGTGCTTGGTTTCGGAGCACTTGGAAGATCTTCTTCTTCATCCACTCCTTGCCGCAAGGCAAGTACGTTCGTGTTTCCAAATCCAGGCTGTGAGAGACATGCCATGAGCAAAGCCTTTCAGAAGAAATCGTGATGATGCAAAGGTACGTACACCAAGGTGCTGAGGTCGGCGAGCGAGTCGATGTAGTTGTACAAGTCTTGGATGTCGTAGGTGATATTTCGTCGGTTGGGGTTGAGTTGCTTGAGCTTGGCTTCGTACATCTTGACGACGCCGTCCATGGCGCTGTTCACAGACTCAAAGTCGAGGTACGTGCGGGAGTTTGGGTCCTCCGTGTACTGAACCAAGATGATCGTGTGCTTCGACTTGCGGTAGTCCATGCTTCTTCGTCCTGTGGCCACTTTCACAATGCAGGCTGTACAATGGGCCTTCCTCTCCAAATATCGAAAGTGCATACAAACAAGTAGTATATCCAGAAAAATGAAGTTCATTTACCTCCTATACCAAAATCAAGTACGAGCTATAGATCAGACAATTGAGCTTTTTAAAGGAAGATTTGTCAAGGCGATGGAAGATGCGTCGGCGCGCTCATGGAGAACTAGAGGCAACCAAGACGTGCCAATCGATGTGAAAACTTGTCGTGGTCAGATCCCCGCCTTGTTGCGTCCACATCTAGCCCACGACTGTGTCGCTGGAGCCTGGCATCAACATGTACAATAGCTTTTATTCACGGGCAACATCCAATGCATGAAGTCTACGCCACCACTCGACACACCCAATCCATTCCTTCGTACAAACCATCGCCCGAATAGGCTGAGCATGGCTGCACATGCCATCGGTGCGACACAACAGAACTAAGTCGCAGGCCATCGGTGAGTGCGTCCACACTCAGGCAATTCGGTGCGTCTTGCTTGTTCAGGTACACCAGGAACGGAGTGTCATGCAACTCTTCCACTTGAAATAGCCCGTGCAGAACTTCCGCTGCTTCTTGCAAGAGCACGTTACTCGTCGAGTCCACGACAAAGATGACCTAGTTTGCTTGTGTGAGTGTGCCATGTTGTGCAAGGGATGTATACTGCGGTGGTGTTGTCGAAGTAGTAGCGCCACAAAGGACGGAGTTGCTCGCGACCGCTAAAATCCCACGCCGTGAATACGACGGTTTGGTACTTGAATGTCTCGACGTTGAATCCAATCGTGGGAACGGTCGGCTCGGCTTCGTGGTATCTAAAGTGGTACAAGATCGATGTCTTGCCTGCGTTGGCGAGACCGACGATGTAAATCTTGCGAGGTGTGGCTTTCCCAGAGAGTCGATCAAGGACGTCCTGGAAACAGCGGAGCAACTTGCACTTGGCGAAAACTCCTCCCATCCTGCGTGCGTCACGGGGCGACGATTTCAATGTTACGCGACGCGTTCGATACGCAAGAAATGAAACGGACGGAAGCACGCGGCCGTTACATGGCTGAAACCGATTTCACGGCATTCCAGGCGTAATTAGGTCCAAACACCGCATCGTCGTCATCTTGCATGGCGCGATCTTGGCTGAAAAGGAGTAGTCGGGTAGCAGCGACGAGATGCTACGTCCTCCTTGATCAAATGTCTTGAGCGTGACGAGTCTGCGCAGATTGCACCCCCTGCTCGATGCACATCCTTTGTCTGCACAATGCCATCAGCGCAGCAGCCGCAAGAAACGCTTAAACACAACGTCGTGGTATATAGAATCAACCTGTACTAACAAATGCAGCGAGGAAAGGTTACTCCAGCGCTTTGCTGAGCCACTCCAGCCCCTCGTACAATCCATCGTTCGTGACGGCTGAGCAAGATTGGATGAACCATGGGTTTTTGGTCACGGAAGTTCATTTTGGCCACGATGTCCGTAGTCGGCATGGCGTTGGGCAAGTCTTGTTTGTTGGCGTACACGAGCAACTTGGAATCCCGAAGCTCGTCTTCGCCAAACATTCGGTGAAGTTCGTCGGACGCTAGATGGACGCGATGGGTGTCGTTCGCGTCGACGACGAATATGACCGCATCCGTGTTCTGGTAGTAGTATTTCCAGAGCGGTCGAAGCTTGTCTTGTCCTCCAATGTCCCATGCCGTGAACTCAACATTTTTGTATTTGAACGTTTCCACGTTGAACCCAATCGTGGGCACGGTGTGCACTGTTTCGTTGAGCTTGAGCTTGTACAAAATGGTGGTTTTCCCCGCCGCGTCCAAGCCAAGCATGATGATGCGGCGGCGTTTGCTCGAGAACGAGTCCAGCACATACATCATCTTGGTCATGAACGAACCCATCGGTTTGGAGGTGGTTTGCAAAATGATGCCATGCTGCTGCCTTCGACACGGCCGTCTCGCACCCCGAACCAATCGACGGCATCCACCTCGGAGGTACACGAAGCAGTTTGATTGGCTGATTCATGTTGCGGATTGAGATGGCTGCATTTGATTGGTCAACGAATATCCAACACAGTCGCGTTGTGCTGAACGGGTTCTTCAGCATGAGTGGGGACGGCCAAGATGGCTAGAGAGTTTATGCGTGAGGAAGGTGGACAGGGTACGATCTAGCTAGCACTCGAAAGGGACACGAGGTTCGCTACAGTTTGGCTAGCTCAGGAACCTTTCGTTTGACTTGTATTCATTTTCGTAGAAGGGCAGACTCGAACCATTTGCGCGACTATGATGGCAGCGCCGTGCCGCCGTTCAAGCGCTCGCGTATTTCGGTTGATGACAGGTCCAGTCGAAAGTCGGATTCTGGAAGGGGCAGGAACAAATGTTGAAATGGGGACGGCACCTTGGAAACCGATTCTTCCGCCGTCACAAACGTCCCTCCCACGAGTCGCCCCGCGACAACAAACCGACACTTGTGCGACGCGATCGTGGACAGCGCCATCCATACGTTGTTAACGTCATGCCCATAATACTTTGGATCCACAAGGCGAACAGCGGTATCGGCGCCAATGGCAAACACGCACGCGGGGAAGAGTGCTGCCTTGTCGACAAATAAGGACGCATTCGTGAGCACGACACGCTGGTGGTGGGTTTCAACGAGGCCTTGCACCCGACGAGTAAGGTCCGCCACATCCACCAGCGCCCCTTTGTCAGCATTTTTGATGGACAACTCAAAGAGCGGGGTGTACAATTCGCCGCCGTCGAGCTTTTCAAGCAGTCGTTGACTCGCCCGAGCAAATTCCATGTGGCCTTGGTGCACTGGGTTGAACGAGCCGGGGAGTACAAGCATTCGTTTCCACGGCATGTCGCGCAAGACCACATTGTTGGGGAAGAACGCAATGGAGGTGCTGTGCAACGACAGCAGTGTCGACGACATAGCATTGTCGAATTCGGTCGCATCTACGGTCAATGTGTCCAACTCGTGGGGGGTTAGATCCTTCTGGAGTTGTGACACATCCACGTTGGCGGCTTTCGACAGAGCCAACACGATCAAATTGCCCACGCACTCGTCTTCCTACGGTGGATTTAGATGACGTGTACTGCGATTGCCGCACCTCCTTTCGACTTCGTGCTCCCTTGTGCAAGTCCAGACTGAAATTGTACGTGCCATGGACGGAGCACAAAGTGACAAATGCACGATGACTTCCTCGGCGCGGTTGCAAAGACACTAGGGCTGCCGTGCACCCAATACCTAAGCACGAGATTAATAGAAGTGCCATGACGCTATGCAACATACCCACGCAGGCGGCGGCTTCATCGAGAGATACGAGGACCCGAGCTCTCTCCAACGACTTCTTTGCCATCAGCATGGACACTTCTTGACTTGAATACGAGAATCGGGTGGGTACCTCGCGGTTGACGACTTCGGACGGCAAATTCAAGAAATCAACCAAGCTCTGCTGATAGTAGGGTACAGTCAGTTCCAAGAGCGTACTGGACGCTCCACTTGTTCCCAAGATCTCCCCAGCCACGTTTCCCCCACCGCCAGTGAGGCTAATGGCGCATTTGACTCGCTTCGACGCAAAGATGTCCTCCAATAGCCGTCGTGCGGTTGCAGTCGCGGTGGCGGTCATGTCGTTTGCTCTTCGCGAGCGAAATGATTTGCCAAAAAGTGTTGGAAAGTCATCTAGCCAATCAGTGAAGCCATGAAGTCACCAGAATCCTTTTGATTGGCTTATTCATGCAAAATCGTCCATAACCATCTCTGATTGGCCACCCAAATTCAACGCTACTTACGACACACACTTTTTTTCATTGCGAGATGACGACGTTTCGTCGCACCCCACCGCATCAAAGATCTGGGTGAAGTTTGCCGTTCTCGATGGAGGATGCCGTCCATAGAGGCACATAGCGTATAGCCAGCAAGATGGACGCGATTCCTTTCGCCACCGCTTCCACCGACATTGGTGAGAGTGGGCCGAGCTGTGCACATGGACACGCACTGGCAGATGGAGAAGTAATTGATGCAGCGCATTCGCGGCAGTGGGGCTTCCGTGGACGGTGGTGACAATCCACTAGGCTTTCCGTCATCCCTTGGAGAGATGTCAATTCGGCTAGATGCTCCAGCGGTGGATTTTGTGATTGGATGCCATGCTGCGCATCAAAAATACAGAGCTCGTGCTAAACATACTGCGTTACAGCAAGTACTTGTCTTGTGTCTATAAAACTTAACCGATGGTCAATCCCAAGCCAAACTTGTGCGAGTCGCCTTCGAAGTGCTTGGCATCGATGTGGGCAGATGTGGTCAAGGACAAGAAAGGGGTCACCTTTTGCACGACCGCCAACGAGACAAAACCATCCGAGTTGACCTTGCCCAAGTACGTCGTGTCCTTGTCCACGGCGTAGCGGCCACCAAGAGTCAAAGCGTTGGCGGCGGTTTGGACGTCGTAGTCGATAGATGCAGCGTACACAGTGCTGGCGTCAAATTGGTGGTGGAAGTTGGCATTGATGGTCTTCAAGCTCTTCTTGGTAGCAACGGTCACTTGAAAGTCACCGCCATTGTACGCCAACGCACCGCCGTAGTCGGACACAGCCGACTTGCTCACGTTGAACGCACCATGGGCACCGACAGTCACACCGCTGACAACCGTCAAAGCAGACACAGTGGCAGTGTTGGCCGTGACGTCAAATTCCTTGGTCAACGTGTAAGTGGGTTGCTTGTATTCCAAGCCAAACTTGGTGACTTGCGACGCGTTGGTCTTGCGGCTGCCGTCTTCAACCTTCGCCGTGACCTTCAAGTTGTCGACAAGGGCGTTGGCGATGTCAGCTTCCACAATCACACGACCTTGGGTGGTGACTTGCAACTTGCTCACGGTCAAACCACCGACTTGGGGTACGACAAAGTTGGCACCGAGCTTGGCCAGGATGCTCTTGTTGGCGGCCATAGTACCTTCGGTGGTAAAGGTGACGCCGTTAGCCGTCTTGGTCTTGATCTTCAACTTGCGGGAGAAGTCGTAGTCGTCGTTCAAGACATCGTTGGCCTTCTTGCTAACATCTTTGTACAACGGAGCGGCCATGATCGGCGGCGTTCCCTTTCTCTGCTTTTTGAAAGTAGTCAATTCCTCGAAGCGAGTGGCCACACTCGATGTGCGGTCAAGTCGGACGTATACAATTTCGCAGTTTGTCCAATTCCCTCTGTTGAAGTGAACACTCCATTCCTTTTAAGTGCTACACCTCCATCGTATGAACATCGCGCCAAACGCTCAAAATACCGATAAAGTACGAAACAGCACGTACTTAACCAAAGAAATGATCGTAACCCAGAGGTATTCCATGTTGCAGGTTCAAGTCCGAACCCATCACGACGAAATATGCAGCAACTTTTCTTTGTGCCGTGAGTTGATTATATGTATTGATCAAGGATATGCGTTGATAGAGTTTGCCAGTTGTTCACGGTGCTTCATGGGGGACCGGGTGAGTGGCCAGCCTTTGCCAGTAAAGCAAATTTGCCCGATCAACATCATGTTCAGCCGTGTTGCTCTTCCGTTCGCCAAGCAAGCTGTGCGTGTGAATGCGACCGCCCCGCGCATGGCCATTCGTGCCTTCTCGGCCCAAACTTTCTTGGACCGCGCCGAAGTCCATGACCGTGTGTTGAACGTGATCAAGAACGTCGGCAACAAGGTCGACCATTCTAAGCTCAACGAAAAGGCCAAATTCATTGGCGACTTGGGCTTGGACTCGTTGGATGTGGTGGAAGTCGTGATGGCGATTGAAGAAGAGTTTGTCATTGAAATCCCAGATGCCGAAGCCGAGCGATTGTTGACCCCTGCTCAAGTCATCGACTACGTTGCGGCCCACCCCATGGCCAAATAGATCGTGACCCTCAGCGCGATGTCTAGTCTATGGCTGGCCCGAGCTCTGACTTCTTTTAGAATTGATTAACACAGGAAACCACGAAAGAACACGAGATCTGGTTAGTTTTCATCTCCGTGGCTTGCATCTCGTGGCTGCATGTGCTTCCTTCAAGAATATTTCGCGCGCGAGTCGTGTGTGCGCATATTCGCAGGTGAATTTTATCATGCAACGCTACTGGGAACTCTTGAGCTTGGCCAAAATGTCTTTGATTTGGTGCTTCACTACCGGTTGCCCGGTCTTCGTGCGCAGGCTTAACTTCACATGGCGCTTCTTGCGCTTTTCGACTTTCTTCTCCTTTTCCTTGACCTTTTGTTCTATGATCTGTCGCTTCACGTTGCGCTCATCCTTGACGAGCTGAGCTTTTCTTTTGGCCTTGAACAATGGATCCGGTTTGTGCGTCGTCGGGCTCTTGTGCATTGACTTGGACGATATGTTGTCGTCACCATCGTTCTTAATGGTCGCAAAGAACTACACATAACCATTAAAACGCTTGAACGGCACTAGGGATCGCTACTTACCTTGTCGTAGAATGATTTCGGTGCATTGGAATCGTCTGCGGCAGTCGCCGGTGCTGGAGCGTTCACGCGTTGTTTCTCCTTGCGGTAGTTCCGAAGCAGCACTGCCTTCTCGACACGCTTCCTCTTCCCACCCGCCGACTCTCCTTTGCCTTTGTTTGGTCTAGCTTTGCCGCGGATGAACCGCTCCAAGCTCAGCCCGCTGCCGTTCCCATTTTGTCGATGCATCTTGATTTCTCCGTGTTGCTGCCGCATTCTTTGCTATTTCCAGCGCCGGCCAACCAAATACGAGGTGAAAATATATACAAAATACACCAAAAACAGAAATATTTTTGTCAGACCACAGGTCCGCCAACAAATCGTTAAATAAACTCGATTGCGGTCGGCGGCACGACGACTACTTTCGGTTGGCCTGGTGCTTGGCCTTCTTGAACTTGTTCTTGCCGTGGTTCGCCTTGGACGCTTGGATGTCTCCGTACTTTCGCTTGGTGTAGCTCCCGATCTGCTTGTCGTGCAAGATCTCTTCCGTAAACGTTTGATGGCGTTGCTTGCGACTCAATCGCGCCGATTTGAACTCGGCCGCGCCTTCGATGACCGTGCCGACCTGGAACACCTTGGGCATGGCCGACTTGCGCAGGTCGCTCGACTTGTAAAAGCGCTTCGGGTCGAGGTAATTCCTCATCTTGATCAGTTGAATGTCGCGCTTCGCTTCAGCAGTCAGTTCGTTCGACACCATGTTGAACCACTTGGAGCTTGTTTGGTTCTTGCCCGACTCCGTCTTCGTCGCGTGGGCCTTGGAGTTGGCGACTTCTTGGATAGCTGCCACCTTTTGGGTCTTGGCAAATTGCTTCAACTCTTCGACGATTTTGCGTTCGGATGCCAATTGTGCGCCATTGGCTGCTTTGTTGCCGTTAAACGTCATGTACAAGTCACGGGTCGCGACGCCACTGTCCAGCCTGTTGGACACGACCTTTTTCATGGGGGCTTCGGCATTGACGACGGAACAGGAGGGATTCGCAGGACCAGCAAAGCTGGACAGCGCCAAGTTTACCTGGAAAGACCATGTTACAAAGTTGGGGTGAATAGATCTGCGTACCATGGCCTCGACGTCATCGTCGTCTTCAGCATCCGCGATGCCATTTACATCAGTATCAGTTTCCGAAAGAGTAGCGGCCTTCGGTGGAGAGCTGACCTCTTCTCTCGGTGTGACTTTGTCTGGCGTCGCCAAGCTCGACATGGCGGGTGTGACTTTCGAGGGCGTTGCCTTCTTGACTGGAGATTGCTTTCGCAACACTTTCGTCGGTGTCGCCATTGCTACAGTGGCTTCCTTTGATGCTTCTGGAGTCGGCGAGCTCGTCATGACGGGTGTGGCCGGCGTTTCCGTGAGAGCCGACGTGTTGACAGGAGAATCCTTGGGTGATTCTTTCGTCGGTGTGGCCACTGCAACTTCGGCTTCCTGTGATGCCTCTGGAGTTGGCGAGCTCGTCATGACGGATGTGGCTGGCGTTTCCGTGAGAGCCGCCGTGTTGACAGGAAACTCCTTGGGCAACTCTTTCGCCGGAGTCGTCACCACTTCAGTAGTTTCCTCCAATTTGTCTGCGTCGGAGCCGGCACTCTTGGAGGTAGATGCTACCTCCGCGTTTCCTTTGGATTCGTTCTCTTTCACCGGTGTTGTCACCACCTCCTTCACAGGTGTGACAGACTTCTTGCGCGTCGCAGGCGATGCTCGCTTGGTCGCAGGTGTGATTCGTCGCTTGGACGGCGTCACCTCGTCTCCATGACTGTCGATTGAGCTTGCATTCGGTGATTTGGAAGGTGATTCGTCTCTTGTAGGCGACGCTGCTTTGGCTTTGCCGCGAGTCTGCCGTTTAGGAGCTGGCGCGGGTGGCGTCGCAGGTGATGCAGCTGGGGTCGCCGTTCCTTGGGATCTCGTCGAGCGTCGGGTCGCAACCATGGATTCTCGCTTGTTGCACAGTTCAACGACCGATGAAACGGAGCCAATCCTTGTGGCCAACCAAATTCGTCATTTCGCAAGTGATGCCCCGGGGTACGTCCGTGTACCCCGGACGAGACGGAACGTTTGCGATTGACCATCACAGTTGTATTTTAATGCTACTTGTCGAAAATTGCGATTCCATTTAAATAGATTTGCCAAGAGGGAAGCTTCTATGTCATATAAACTTTGCAAAGGTCCTTTTTATATGTTTTTATAATTCACGGTGGACGTCGAGACTTCGCCACACTGCACGAGAACTCGAAGCACCCCACCGCGCCGCCCCCATGCAGATCCAGATCAAGGTACGCCTTGGCGGTGCTTTCACGTCCATGATAGACCCATCTAATGCGGCCGCTATTGTAGACATTAACTGGCCGAAAGGTAGCACCCCGACCCTCCTATATCGGACACTCAGCATGGCATCTTGGTAGCAAACTTTCAACTTCGAGCCTGATAACACAGTACGTGCGGACCGACCATCGCCATCGGTGTCACCATTCGGACGTTCTTCATGATAGATCTTGCACGTGAAGCAAGCCCTTCAGGAGAAGGAAGGCATTCAAGTCGACCAGATCCGGTACTCCTTTCCTGAATGACCCCGTCGTCGCCGATGCTCACGTCATGTGTGCCCTTAGATTGATCTACAGCGGGAAGCAATTGTACGTTGTCAATGCATCATGCGAATAGATGTGACTTATCCCATGCCAGGGCCGATGACAAGACGCTGCAAGAGTACAACGTTGCCGCCGGCGGCACCATTCACATGGTTTTGCAGCTCCGTGGAGGCTGCTAAGCAGTGTAGTGCGGACTCTCTTCGTCCATTCACGTGACGGCAGGACGAGTCGTTTGATGCTAATTCTCTTAAACACCCCTTCCTACGCCTTCGTGGCGTGTTGCTGCGCCGCGGTGGCTTTCTCCAGTTGAGCTTGGAGGAGCGGGTCGAGCTGCCCCTTCTTCGCCAGCGTCTGCAGCAACTTGATGACAAAAGGAACGTAGTTGTGTTTGCGGCGCAAGTTCTCCTTTTTCCAATTCGCTCGCTTTTGGGCCTCCGTCGCAATGCACTGCTGCCACGACTGAATCTGCCCGACGATCGCCGCCGTCTGCTCCTGTTCCAACAGTGCCGCAATGTTGTCTTGCGCCAACTGCACACGGTTCCGGACGAGGCCCATCAAGTTGAAGCGGATCTCGGACGAAGCGTACTTTTCGATGCGTCGCTGGATCACGGGTGTCGCGACTTTCAACCACGCTGTGGGTTCCTACTCCACCATGACGGAACAGGATGCAGCAGGGATCGTCGTACCAGAGACGCCACGTCGCCGAGGCATACAGGGCCGTCGGAGAGACCATCCAGCTCGTACACCTTTCCTTGGAAGGGCACATATGCAACGAAATGGTACACCTCGTCGTCGTCCTTGGCCGGTCGCTTGTCTTCGTCAATCACAAATGGTTCGGCCCGCGCGAACGAGTTGTGCACCGTGCGGATGGTGTCGCTGTTGGAAATCGCGAGCCCCTTCAAATCGGGCGGGAATTCGCGTGTGAATGCTTTAAATTCCGACAGGGTGTCGCCAAGAACGACGTGGGGAGATTCAAGATTGAGCAGAATTGCCAAGATGGCTTGCGTCGCACATGCATTCGTGATCACTTGCTTGGCAAAGAACAGATCGGGGGACACAAACTGATGCTGTCCTGAACCAGTCGTAGGTGCAACAGCATGCACAGGCGACCATTTGAACAAGAAGATCAAGCCATACACTGGAGAGATATGCTGGAACGATGCTTCATCCAACGAATACAGTTCCTCGACCTGGATTCCCTTGGTCCCGATGTCTTCAATCAACGAAGTGAACACACCTACATACACACGCAACCGCGCAATCAGCATGGGCTTCATCGTCACAGGGGGCGTCGGCTTCGCTAGGGTACCTGGATCCGACTCAATCGTGCACCAAGACATCGCGCTTGTGCGGTTGCTGGACAAGTGTTTGGGGAGACGACAAAGGATATGTGCAGAATTTCATCCAATCATCATGCTATTCAATATTTAATTGGAGGATATAGCGACTATTTGAGCCAATCATTCATTGTTATTTCAGCCAAAGTAACCGACTGTCAAGCTCGGATGAGCGCAAGGTGGGCATCGAGCGTCCGTCGGAAAGGCTGCAGTAGCCCGAGCTGCGGTAAGGCCGCGCTGCATTGAGTGTGCTGCGTCGCGTTGTGTACGAAACCTCGCTAAAGCCCACGGGACATGTCCACACGAGTAACTGGCCGTTGTGCCTTTGAAACGGCTCGTCCCATGGCGATGGCACCCATGGAGGGTGGAATCGTGCCCATGCATGTGCAAATCTTCCAGGGTCTCGTGCCGCAAGTCGCTAGCCAGGCCACGTCCCTTGAGAACATTCTACGGACTCTGTGTCAAAAGATCGAAACCCTCGAGGCGTGCCTGACATCCATCAACTCGGGGGTTGTGGAGATGGACATGCGTCTGAAAACCATTGCTCACAACATCGAAGGGGGCACGAACGACGACGGATTTGGCGCCATGAGCACATTCATGCCACCGCTGGTCACGGAAAAAGCGCAGGCGAAGCAGCCGGCCAAGTCGGCTGTCGTGTCGCACGTGATCAGTGCGTTGGCCATGGGGCACATTGCCAAGCCACTGGAGAGACTCAAGAAGAAGCGAAAAAAGGCGACTCTACAAACACCGCCAGTCGACGTCGCTGGGTACGGCGCGGGTCTGGCCAGCGGCGCTCCGGTGCTGACGGACAAGCCCATCGCCACACTTAACCGGGGCCACAGCTCAGCCCGGCTCCTCCGCGATTCGCCACGGTCAAGATCCATTCCAGAGCAGCGGGAGATGCCACACTCGGCGCGTTCAAAGTCAATCGTGCGCTCGCTAGCGTTTGAACAACACGCGGAGGGAGTTGCGGCACCTCTGGTACCGAACACAGTGCCATCGACACCTGTCACGGAAGAGGTGCCAAAGGAATCGGAGCATGAAGTCGATGAGCCCGTTGTTCTCGTCCACGCGGATCCGTGGGACATGGGCGACCCCCCAGCCGCAACGACAGGACCACGGCCAACGGATGCATCGAAGGAAAGCACGGACGGTCTAGCGAGTGCATCCTCCAACGGTGCATCCACCGTTCTGGTCGCTGCGCACGTCAAGCACGATGTAGCCGTTGCGAATGCTTCATCGATTCAAGCACCAGCTACACCAAAGCTGTCGGTAGAGGTCACGGGTCCTCGGTATGTACAACCCAAGCAAGGCACAACGGACGTAGTCGAAGCACACGTTTTGCAACCAACTCAACTGGTGCCATCAAGTCGAAGCGAGTCTACGAGGGCACTTGCTGCCGATGCGTGCATCGAGCCCCGATCGTCTCCTCGACGGCGCTCCAGCCCGCTCGAGACGCCACCACCCAAGGCAATCGAGGAATCCGTTCGTATTCCACGCCTCTCGCTGTCTCGCTTGCACGTTGAGCGGTTGACCCCGCTGCAAACACCCGTCACGCCACTGGAACCGCAGCCTCTTGTCGAACCAGCAGCTACACCCTCGTCGAACGCAGCAAAAGATTCGCCACAGCACCGCGAAACCATCGCCACATCCCATCAAGTAGCACTACGGTCATCGGTACCGGGGGCAAGGCCAGCGTCCATGACACGGAAGAAAACGATGAAAATTCTCCAACGATCCGCTCTTTCCAAGTCACAGCCGACTCAGTCGAGCACCTCCCCTGCCAGCCCTCCATCTTCCCAACAACACTACACACTGGTGGAAAAACTGGATGCATCTCAAACTACCACGACACCGCCTGCCGTGGAGGGCGGAAGTTTGTCAGAAAGCAGCGACAGCGTAGACGATGACGAAGACGTTGACGAGAAACAAATTGGGCCATCGGAGGAAGACGTGCAGCGCCTCAAGCAAGCAGGGCAACATGGCTGGCACGTCGTGCGCACCAAGCTAGCCACGTTGAAGCGACCCAAGGTCCGTGGCGTCAGTGATGTGGGTGTCGGCTTCACATGGGCGTCATGCAGAACATTTTGTTTACAAAGAAAAAACAGCTCTTCACCATTGCAAACCGCTTAGAATTGCTCGAGCGCAAGTCGAAGGTAGGGATGGATGCATCCGTCGGTGCACATGGCCTCAAGCGTTGTAGGAGCTGTTTGCCGGAGAAAAGCAGGTACGTCACGGCGGTCCACACGCTCCGCCATGCAACCTTGGCCTAGCTGGCGCTTCTCCTGGCGAAAAAAGTCGAAGATATTTTGGCCACCGTGCGTCGCCGCCGCGGCTGCATTGCGCTCAACGCTCGCTGCTGTAGGTGATGGCTGCGGTCGAAGTGAAGGTGAAGGACGTGCACCGTGACGTACGGACCGCAGGTCGGCTACCTCGAGTGACTTGTGCTGTTCTAGCTTGGCAAAGCCGTCGACGACAAGGCAGATTCGCACGTGGTGCTTGCGTTTTCCCATCGAATTCAAGCCCTCGAACAGGCTGTGCGCGCGGCCAACGCCGATTTCATAGACAGGCTATCTGTAATGGCCACTCAGAGGTTGGTGGCGGCGCTCTTCTCGGCGCCATCACGGACGTGTGCACGGTACTAGTGAAGTTGATCGAAAGGTGAACATGAACCATGCAACGGCGCAATCGTGGCATGATACGATGCAGGTGCGCGGGCATGTCGACGTGACCAAGCACGAGTGGACGACGCACGTGTAGGCGGAATTGCGCGAGCAAGCGGCGCTCCTGACCGACCATGCAACGCGTGTACGCATGCTCGACGAGACCCTGTCCAAGTCGAATCAAGACATGGCTTCGCAATTCAAAGTGCTTGCCGATGGTGTCTGGTGAAGGAGGAATGAGTGACTGTGTGCCGTTAGGACTTGCTGGAGCAATGGCAGTCCACCCGAGCTGCTCAAGATGACATGCGACGGCAACTGAGGAAGAAAGCCGACGCGAAAATGCTCAAGGAGCTGGAAGTCACCATGTTCAAAGGGCACGAACCCAAAGAGAACGAGTCGTGCGCTGCTCGATGCATGTCGTGCAGGAAGGACATTGTGGAGCCAGCCACCCCCGAGCACGACCCCGACGCGCTCCACCGCGACGTCGTGCACAACAGCCTCACCAAAAAAGTCAACATTGGCCAGTTTGCCACCAAGGTCGATCCGACTCGGCGCGCCTTGTGGGTTGATCCTGGTGGTAGGTGTATCGCAGCACGGTCCCGTTGAATGCCGAGCTCGTGAGTTTGCGAGAAGAGAGCCCAGCTCCGCCCATGTCGCCTCTCGAGTACGTTGGTTCTGCTGTCGGCGGGCTCGTCGTCGTCGTCGTCACCACCACGCACGGCGTAGCAAACTTAACGTTGTGGCCGACAAGAAGGTCCTGAAGAAGCGGCCAGGGACCGCGCCGTTGAAACCCGCCGCCACTCCGAAAGGAAGAAGGGATGGCTTGACCGTCGAAATCCCCCGCCACGTGAAAAACTAACACATGTCGCCGTTGAACATGCAAAAAAAATTTTTTTGCGCCATGGCAGACTTGTCGGTTACGCCGATGGTGAAACGTCCGTTTGGGGCATTTTATCGTGGGGCGACGAACAACATGCCACGTCGGTGCAGCAAGTGCCATAGCGAGCGCATTATCGTGCTGGAGCAGCGCCAGCTCGTCGTCTGTGGAGCGTGTGAACACGTTGCGCCGGTGGGAGAAGAGGCGGCGACCCCACGCCTCCGAGATCCGACCTTGCTCATCTACGACCGCCCTGTTCTCCACATATTCTTATCCTGTACAGAGTAGCCCTGGCCCTCTTGCATTTCGAGAGCTCACATGTTGCCTCGACATCGAGTAGATGGGCACGATCGCTATCAGAAGGTCGCTCTGATGCTGAAAGATCATTGTACACTACAAACTGTGCATACCGGGGGTGCCGCTTCATCTCAGCCCGTCGTCGTAGTTCGCTCCCGTGGCCATTCTGTGTGGGTCGACGTGGAAAAGCTGACTCCAGGTACACCAATTGCATGGCCGTGCACGTTGTCTTCATGCAATGCTGTGTTGTAGGATGCGATTGGGAAGCTGGCATTGCGGACGCACTCACGTGGGTGAAGGAAGCGCAGGAGAACGGGCGGGTGCTGCTGTTGATGACGCCGCATGCTCTTCGCCGGCCCGACGGCTACTGCCTCAATGAAATAGCTCGCGGTACGGCTCATGCGTGAGATGCAAAGTCGACTCACGCTGCTGCCGGCCGTCGTGTAGCGTCGTCACTCAAGCTCAACATCTTTCCTGTGTTGGTGGCTGAGAGCGACCCGCCACAGTCGATCGCGATGCTGCCGTATTTTGACTTGCAGTCATGCTTGCCGCATCCAAACGAGACGGTGGACGCCGCCGCGTGGGACAGCGAGGTCACGACATCGATGGCAGCCCCCGCGTTTCAAAGCAAAGTCCTCCAACTCACTGGACTCCTCGAAGCGGTGTGCATCGTCTCCTTCAATCGTGCTGCTATTGCGTTAACGTTGTGGTGCAGTGCGACAGCATGCGAAGCGCCATGGTTGCGGCAATCGGGGGCATAGACAACTTGCACCTCTTTCACACGTCGCCTGCGGACGAAGGCGGGTCCAAGGCAAAACTTTCCACGTATCAAAAAGTACTGTCCCCCAAACGCAGCCCACCGCTCCACGCGTCGACGAGTTCGCCCGCCGATAGCCCGTCGCCGGTTGCTGTCGACGTGCACGAAACCAGGTACGTTCATTTCCATGGCGCCATGGTGGCTGCACCGTGGCAGTAGATATGTGTTTGTGTTTGATGCAACCAGCGCCCCTCTCGCGATCAAGCTGCACGAGGATCTCATGGCCCAAGGTATGCTGCCTCCTTCGGCGTTTTCCCAACGGAGGACTGCGTAGGGTTCAACGTACATCCGCACCTGACGCCGTCGCCAGCGGAACCGCATGCTCGGCGCGACGCCATCTCGTGGGCCGCATCTGGCAAAATGCTTTTGTTCTTGACGCCGCAGAGCGTGGGTCGACCGCACGGTGGACGGACCTTCGCCTGGCACGCGCCGCTGCTGACCCACATGCCGTAGGAGTGTGTCTCAACGATGTGTCGGCTGCCATGGCGTCCAATGTCGGGTTTGTTCCGCTCATGGTTCGGCCGTGCGAGATCCCCCTGAGCATTTGCCGCATTCAGTGGCTCGACTTGAGCGACTGCTTGGTCGTCAACACGCAAAACAACACGAGCACCGTCAACGACGTCAAGTACGCTGTGCGAATGCCGCAGCTCGTGACGGCCCTCCGCGGGAACCTCGACCACGATGGCCAGCAAGCTCGCTTGTTCAGGTGCGATGTCGACGACTGCCCTCCCCCATTGCCCTTGACACCACGTTAAACACGGTAGCATCTTTTCGCCGTTTTCGTTCCAGGCCGAGGTCGGTGTCGTCGTCGAGGCCATGGGCTGCACACATGACCGGGGTCGATAGATCGCCAAGTTCACCCAAGGATTCGCCGGGAGAGAGTGGGTGATGGACCAGCTCACGCAGTGGAAGGCCAGCGCGAGCCAGACGTTTTGGGTGACGGGTACAAAGTGCTTTCGCCCCGCGCAAGCGAACGGAACGATGCTGACGACGGACGTGGGGCAGGCCAAATCGGGACGGGCAAAACCGCCCTCGCAGCATACATCATTCAGAGCCAGCCCGAAGTTCGCGCCTTTCACTTGGTCAGTAAAGACGACGAGCAGACGCAAAACCCCCGGCGGTGCATCCTCAGCCTCGCGTATCAACTGACCACGCAGCTCCCGGCCTATGCCGCCTTTCTCCAGTGCGACCCCGGCGCCACCACCAAACGAGCCTCAGGTTGGAAAATCGTAGGCAAGGCGAGCCTCTCGAAGAAATCGTGGCTGTGTCCAGCGTGACGGAGCTCGTGACGACGCTGCTTGTCGTGCCCCTGAACGCGATCGCGCAGCCGACGACGGTGCCGTTGGTGCGGACGGCGGTCGGGTGTATTCGTGGCTGACAGGGGCCGTAGGTAATTCTCCTGGACGGTTTGGATGCTTTCCAAGACGCGGCCGCGTTGGACAACTGCTTCGTGTCGTCGTTGGTGGCGCTCGTTCGAAAGCTCCCGTCGTGGGTGCGCATGATCTGGACCAGTCGCGAAGATCCGTCCGTGATGCGCAAACTCCAAGGGTGCCGAGAGTCCAACATGGCGGAGATCATTCAGTGTCTTCCGCAGGTTGGTTCCCCAAGTCGCGTTGGACAAGTGCGTCGACCAGTCCAGCGCCGACATGTTGAAGTACTTGCAGGCGGCGCTCGTGCCATTCGTTCGGCCAGATGTACGGCTATCGTGCCGTCCTTGGTGGTGTCGTAAACTCGATTGGTGCAGGAAGGGGCCGTGGTCCCACTCGAAACCCTGCACGCCATCGTCGCGCGGTCCGAAGGTCCTCTTGCCTGTGCCAGGGTTTGCTGGCTAGCATGCTTCTTTGCTCACACCGTGTAGGGCTGTTTCTGTACGCCAGCCATATCGTGCATGCACTGCACCAAAAGCGGCTCACGCTCGACAAGCTCGAGAGCTTTCCCGTGGGCATGGGGGGCTACTTGCGGCAGTTCTTTGAGGACCAGTTTTCCGCCCACCACTACGAAGTACTACGTCGTGTGAGGGCATCATGCACATCGTGTCCATCTTTGTGTAGACCAGCATCCGGCCATTGCTGGAGGTCCTGTGCGCTGCGTTGGAGCCGATGCCCATGGCCATGCTGCACGACGTGATGAAATGGGATGTACGTGCTGGCGCGCGCGGTCTCCCGTATGTGACGAGGGTGACTTTTGGCGCAGACGTACTCCCATCGCGACTGTCTCGGGGCGTTCAAGTCGCTGCTGTACGTGTCGGAAAGCGACGACATCAAGCCCTTCCACACGTCGGTGTTTGAATGGCTGCAGGATGCAAATGCCGCGGGGCGCTTTTTCGTCCGCGTCGAGTATAGTACATCGTCGTGGCGCATGCCGTTGATGTCGCCTTGCATTAGACATGGCCACGAACGGATTGGGCTGTGGGCATGGGCGCACTATGACTCTGTGCTGCGCGCGACGACCGACATCTCCAACATCAAGTGCGCGCGGCGCTGTCTCGCTCACCCCTACCCCACTCACGCGCGCGTAGTCTGGAGCTCGAGCCGAGGCAGGCGACCTCTGAGCTCGTCGATCAACTCCAAGCGCCCCTTTACATCATTCGACATGCATTGAACCATCTACACGTACACACACACAAATCGTGGAAGAGTGTACGAAAGGTCATCGTTGTGACCGGGATAGCTGGCCAAGACCGACGCCAGCATCGATTGCATGCGCAAGTTTTCGTCGGACGAAAAGTTTCAACTGGCGCGACGTCTCGTGCGCCTGCGGGAGAGTGGTCTGGAGAGGTGTGCCCCTCGCGTTGTTGCTTCTCATGTGCCTCATGGACCATCGAACGCTAGCTTTTTTCACGGCGACATCGATCGTGGCATGGCGCACGCGCTGTTGACCGATGTAACCCGACCTCTCCATGCCAAACCGACTGTCGTGGATGTGGCGCGCGTAGAATGGGACCCCCGGCGCGTTTTTAATCCGGTACAGCGCCAAGCACAAACTGTACTGCGCGTCCTTTGTGGACAAAGTTGTCGATGGATTGCCCCAAATCAAGCACAACATCATTTACCACTTGGATTCGGTGAATCGAGCCCGTGCCGGCGACCCCTGACGGACTTTGTGGCGCGTAGGGAGCGTATTGTGCGGTGCAACCCAACGAAGTCCAAAAGTCGACGCCAGTCTACCCCGACTTGGTGAGTTTTGTCGAAGCGTATCAACGAAAAGGCATCTTGACCACGCCGCTTCCGCACGCCAAAGGCGCCACCGACGCCATTTCCACCTAAATTCGTCTAGAATCGATTTGTTTGCATTCCACCATGCGCTGGCACACGAGGTCGACCAGGTTCGAGGCTTAAATCGGGCTGTCATGACAGAAAACGCAAGCCACGATGGTCTATTTTACGTGTGCATTGCCGCCAACGCCGCTACAATCGCACACACGGCACCATTCATCCTTGTTGCTGCGCGTTCCCCATCACGTGAGCCTGTGGACAAGCGGTCCACTCTGCTCTTGTCGTCGTGTGCCCCATCGTGCAAAAGAATGGAGCGGCGCACGGATGCAGCGTCAACCAACTTTGATTAGGTTGCTGATAAAGGCGTCGCATGGCCAGCAAGACCAAATTCCGCAGCTTTTTTCATTCACATATCCATCTCCCCATGCCCCAGCACACGTCGAAGGCGCGACGATGGCGGCGCTGTCGCTTTGGATGGTCGTGCCCCTTGAATCCTTGGCCAGGTTCAACCACGAGCTCAGCCACCCAACGCAAAATTCGGACTGTCCGGATCGTATCCGGAATGGTGCTGGGGGTTCTACGCACATTTGGATTCGTCGTACACAATGGAAGCGGCCGCCGCCTCCACCCACACCGATGCCCGCGCATGCCACACGTGTGGCGAAACCGGCCACCTGCGCCGCGACTGCCCCATGAACGCTGGTGAAAACGCCTCGCATTCGACTGGTGCTGCTTGCTTTGCCTGCGGCAAGACCGGCCACATCAAGCGTGACTGCCCCAGCGTGTCGACTCGCGCTTGCCACAACTGCGGTAGCACGGCCCACTTTCGCCGCGACTGCCCTGAAGAGCAACGCCCTCGCGCGTGCCACAACTGCGGTGAAACTGGACACGTCCGACGTGACTGCCCCAAGGACGGCAACGACAGCCGCAAGTGCCACAACTGCGGCGGCACCGGTCATTTGCGCCGAGACTGCCCGGAAGAAAACGACACGTCCACCGACAAGTGCTACCATTGCAACCAAACTGGTCACTGGGCTCGCAATTGCCCCACCAAGAACTAGGTGGTGACGTCGTGATTGCAGGTCGGGAGACGACGAAAGACGGGATGAGTATTTACTTCGATTTTGCAGTGAGATAGTTCATTAGCTTAGTGATGAGTTCCTGGTGCTTTATCAGCGTGCGTCCGGCGGCGAAGGCACAAGGCATGAAGAGATCGGGCGTAACTTCAAACGAAACCTTGACGCTTTCAACAACTTCTCGTCACGTGTATCATGTTCTTCATCAGGATCATTGAACGCCCTATTGTTGACCATCGTATGCGAATCAATATCATGCTGGCACGTGAACACGAGCAGGAACGACGGCGTGGATTTTAAAGGTTACGCAGCACTTGATATCCTGTTAGCGACGGAGTCTAACGTCTTGATGAGCTCGCACGCTTCTTGATGGTGAGCATGGTCGCATGCACGCCTGGGTTAAACGTGATCCTCGCTATTGCTGCTGCAGTCGTTCCTTTTCTAGCTCTGCCTCCCATGCTGCGCGATCCTTCAGTCTCTTGTCACGTGCATCGAGCAACCGGTCCCAGTCATCTCGCAAGATCAGCTTCTTCTGGTTTCCCTTGGCATACCAACGGTTGACGAACCCGATGCCGGCGCCCGCCACGGTGAACGCCAGCGTAATGACCGCAAGGCCTGGCACAACTTGGTACGGCATCCTCCAAACCACGAATAGTCAGTTGGACTGGACCTGCACCACAACAACCCACGTTGATATTTATTTAATTCCACAGTGAGAATGTATAGAGTAGTGATCAAAGGATCAATTTATTTCACGTTTTGTTATAATTCCTGCGTTCTCAAAGAAATACCCAAAAGACGTCACCCAGATTGCAACTTTGTTATATATGTTATATACCCGTGCGGATCGCCGCCCACTGCTCACGTGGAATGTGCATGGCGTCCAGGGCATGCGACGGCAACAATCCAGACCTTTGCACATATACATGTCCCTTTCATGCGTGGCAGAGGCTTATGCATCCAACGTCTTAGTCGCGCTCCCGCACCAAAGCGAGTCCTCGAGCATTCAGCGCGCGTTCCCACCTACACCCACAAACGCTCAGGCATTCCTTGCTGTATATGCAAACGCACTCCATGTAGCACTTGGTGTAGTATGCCTTGATGCGCTCGGTTCGAATCGCGAGCAATTCGCGGTTGGCCATTTCGATCTCTTCGGTGATTCTACCAACGAGATCGACGTCGCGCAAGTGTTGAAAACTATCCATGACAGCAGGTCACACGTACTGCTTGTCAACGCGCTGGCGCGTGTAGGTGACGCCTCTCTTTCCCTGCTTGTCTTCCCATACGGCCCTGCCTTTGATGTGGTTTGAAATCTTGGTGTTCCGCATGGCTGTGGAAAGCTGCTCTTCTCGCGCGATGAACGCTTCGACATTGCGTCCAAGCTTCTTCTTCCCGAAGGGCTCCGAGTCCTTCTTCGAGTACCCCGCAGGTCGCATCGCGGCCATCTCGACTTGTCGAAACAGCAATTGAAACCGCTCCCGACCCGCGACAAGTAATATCGAATTCTAGAGGTGCGACCTTTCGCGCATACCGGGACGTGGAACCAGGGACAACTTCGAGCTGAATGCATCGCCTGAACCTGCAGACCCATCACGACGACCGCGAGGGCGAAACCAAAGAGGACGACGCACGGCGACTTCAAGAGGAAGACATTGAGATTACGTTTGAGCTGCCAGATCAGTCGGAGGCGCGACAAAAGGTACGGCCAGCAACAGCAGCATTTTCGCGACCTAACGACCCCAACCGCAGTTCAAGAAGGGTCAAACTGTGATGGTGTTGAAAAGCTTCCTCGAGACCGAATTTGATTTGCACATGCCTTCTATCGTACGTTTGTTTCCATTTGTCGTGGTCATCGGACTCAGCCTTGCCTCGGTAGAGGCTCGTCCACAACGACGTTGTGCTGCTCGACCCTTACTCGCTGACAGACTACCCAGACTTTGAACACAACGACGAGGCTCGAGTCGTGGTGGTGCTTTCGCGAAAGTAACTCTGCCCTGGATAATAATGTACAGCCAAACAACCGACTTGAGTGGGTGTTTTCCAGGGATTTAGACGGATGCTGCTCGATCCGCGGGGCCATTGCAGCCTTTGCGAGCTTGCTACCCACACGGCCTATCTGCTACGACCCTCCTGCCTGCGTGCGCATGTTGACCTGGTTTGGAATGTGGCTGTCGCGCAGCGAAGGCTTCACGCTTTTGCGCCTCATCCTCCAACGACTATCCTTGAAATAGTGTGATTGCAATCAGTCATACTATTATGCGTTCTTGGTGGAGTGGAAAATCGTCATGTTTCGGGCGGCGACTGGCGTGCGGCGCTGTTTACGTCCGTCGATCTCGATACCTCGTTGCTCCTATGCAGTTGTAAGTGAGAACCATAGCTTCCCGCGAACTCAGTTGCCGCATCTGGCCAAGAAGTTCAATAAGCCCGAGTCGTTGCTGGAGCCGTTCATCGTCGCGCTCGAAGACAATTGGTACACGAGCGCGAGCGATATTCTGGCCCTCACTTCGACCGACGCCACTACCTTGAACATCCCATTGCGCGCGATTCAAATTCTACAAGAACGTGCCAATGCATGTGTTTCGAGCACGGAGGCTTCGGCAGATGCAACCGGTCCACGTGCACCAGTGGCGACCACTATCCCACCACAGCAGCCAGTCGTGATCTCCGACGCGACATCCCCGCGAAAGCAGCACACGCCCTACGACGAAGTTCGGATCGGAAAAAAGAAAATGCATGCGTACGGGTTGATGGATCAGGACGTCAGCAAGCAGCTCGAGCAACAGCTCGAGACGTACTTGGCGCACATGACGACGGCAACGTTAGGGCAACAAGAGCCGCCGATTCGAATGGTATGGGCACGATGTCGTCCTGGGGATGTAACTTGCACGTAGGCGACTGCAGTTGTGTACATTCGATTGACGAGACTCGCACTCGGCTATGCCAAGGAATTCTGCCACACTCCCGTACGTTGGGGCATTCGACTCTCGCGATTGTCACGCAAAAGAATAGGTGGAGGAGCTCACGCTGGAGACGCTGATCCCTTCGTCTGAAGCCCATTCCGCTCAGCTCGTGTTCCAGTACATTCAGTGGTTGCGGCTGACGCGAAAAGCCTCACCCAACTATTGCGCCAACATGCTGCGCGCCATGCTCAAGCTGGCCAAGTACCTCCACGGACAGCAGACTTCGTTGGACCCGACCTATGGAGACAAAGCGTACGATGACATTCCAGTCATTCGCGAGCTGCGTAAAATGCACAAATCGACGTCGCTCCAGTCCGCGCAGTCGCTTCGCAGCGTCGACGAAGAAAAGGTGACGGTGCGACGAGCACGGGGTTGACTCTAACACATCTGAAGAAATGGCTGGCCTGGCCAGACTTTCTCGCTGTCGTCGAAGCGTTGAAGCGGGAATGCGCCGAAACCACGTCGAATGGAAAGCCTCGAACGAGGTCGGTCGGGCCCAACACCATCTCTTGATTCCGTGCGATTCAACCCGTGGGTAGATATGCCATTGCGACGAGTTTTCAAAAATGCGTCATGTTGGGGATTTTTTCCGGCATTCCAGATCGCCAGCGCACATTGCGTGAGATCGAGATCGGCCGAACGCTGCACCAGAATGCAGCGGGGCAATGGACGATTACGCATGGACCGGATGATTACAAGACGGGAAAAGCCTACGGCGAGCGCCCTCCACTGGTAAATGTCGCCATCGGCAATCGGCCTAAGCATTTGCCTGCAGGTGATTCCGGACCACATCGTTCCGTACTTGACAGCGTTTTTGACGACGTGGCGCAAAGAATTGAATCCGACCAACAACCACTCGATCTTGTTTTGCAACACAAAGGGCGAGCCAGCGACAGCCGACTTCATCTACCGCACGTTCACTCGCGCCATTTATCGGGTACGTCGTGTGGACGGTTGCCAAACCATGGATAACGTGCCATTGCTCGTAGCTCACGGGGAAGAAGACAAATCCGCACTTGCTGCGGGATAGCATCGTGACTTACTTGAGAGGGCAGAGCTCGGCGACGGAGAAAGATTTGGAAGCCCTGGCAATCTACATGGGACACAGGTAAGGTCGCCCAGGGACACCGTGCCAGCAGATTTGAATGTCCTTTGTGTAGTTTGAACATGCAAAAGAGCTCGTACGATCGCCGCACAAAGTCGCAGAAAGTGGCGCCTGCTGTTGAGCTTATCCAATCCATCAAGCCATCGGCCACTCTGGAACGCTGAAAGGAGGAGCCGCGAAACAGCATGCCGTTTCCCAAGGGGCATCAGCGTTTTCTTGAGGGCGTCGTGGCTATCCGCAGCTCGAACAACACCGATGTAACATTGCCCGGATATGTTGTCTTGCTGGAAGGGACTCGTCGCCATGGCCATGGCGCGCCGGCAATCAAATTGGGTGTGTACGGATATAAAATCCGTCGTACCTAGTGAGTATATGCGTTTTTGTATACCAACTTTTGGGCTCCGGGAAGGTAGTATAAGATTCCCATATCCGGATAATGTCCTATGCATGTGAGCTTTCGACGCTTTACCAAGTGTGGACATTTTCACTGGGACAACATGGACGCTGCCGCCCATGCACCACCCAAGGGAAGTGTCGATGCCACCGAACGCACGCCGCTGGTCGGGAAGCTTCAAACTGTCACCTCTTCATCGAGCACTTCAAGCTACAAGTCATGCGCTTCACCGGCAGAGAGCTACCAGGTCCTCGTCGGGTCACCGTACCTTGATGCCCAGCAGCCCGAAAACTCGCCGACTCCCCCGGAAAGCGGCAGCATCTTGTATCTCGACGACGACGTCGAACTGGCCAAGTCACAGCTGACGACAGTCCAGAGTCTCTTCTTTGACTCGTGCTTGTCGGGCGATGCGTTCCAAGCGCAGCGATTAGTTGAATCCATCGATGGTGACGACGAGTTGCGGACTCTCCTGACAGTGCATCATCCCAAGTACCACATGAATGCCTTGATGGTGACAGCGTTCTATGACCAACATCTTGTCATGCGATACCTGTTGGATCTGAAGCTTTGCCGAGATGGAGTGAACGAAGCGGCAGGCGCTGAACGCCATGGCGCGACTGCATTGATGCTTGTTCAATCTGTTGCTTGTGGCTTGATTCTCTTGCAAGCCGGCGCGTCTGTGCACTGCCAAAACTCGACCGGTATGTCTTGTTTTCCTTGTGATGCGATTCAACATGGACGTCGCTTCCACCTGTGCAGGAATGACCCCCCTGCACTATGCGGCGAGTAGCGGCAATGCAGGTCTTGTGAGTCTGCTGCTGACGCGAGGGGCTGATCCCAATGCCGTGGACCACCGCGGCGCGACGGCGCTCCACTGGGCAGTCTACGAAGGTTTTCAATACACGGCCATGCTCTTGGTAGGGCACGGAACCGACATGGCGGTGCAAGACTTGCAAGGCCAAACTGCGCTCATGATTGCGTCTGCGCTGAACGACGCATTCTTAGTCAAGCAGCTTGTATTGGAGGGGGCGCCGCTGCACCTGAAGGATCGAAAGGGGCGCACGGCGCTCATCATTGCCACGCAAGCTTCCAATCGAGAATGCGTCCACGCGCTCAAGTCGGGTGCGAGCGACAGGTCCCCGACGCTGTATGCGTTATATACCATGCTTTACCGTCAAACCTCTAGGTGGATCGCCACCATGTCCAGACGCGGCGCATCGATCGTGTTTTTTTGGGCTGCCTTCACGTCCACCACGATGTTGTCGCTGTTGTACGCCATCCCGTGTCTGGCGTTTCCAGTGGAATTTGCCGTGGTGGTCCTGGGACTGGGCGGCCTCACGTGCATGTCGTACATTTACGTGTGGTTGACCGACCCCGGGTACACACCTCCCGTTGTGCCTGGAAAGGTTGTGTGGTTGAGAGAGTTGACGTGCAGGTTTGTGGCCAAGTCGAGCCAGCCCGTGTACGAGCTTCTCGCGACCGACGCAGTGCAATCGGTGCCATGTCCGAGCTGTGTCACGTTGAAGCCCATTCGTTCCAAGCATTGTGCGACGTGCAAGCGTTGTGTCGACCGCTTCGACCACCACTGCCCGTACGTGGCCTCGGCTTGTGGGTGGCGGCTCATCGGGTGTTATCCAGTTGGATCAACAATTGCGTTGGACGCAAAAACCATCGCGGATTCATCGTGTTCCTCGCGTCCTTGTCGGCTTTGTGCCTTCTCGTGGCCCTGACGTCGCTCTCGATTTTGACCGGCGTTGTGTCACCCGTATGCCCGCCATACATTTCGTCCGGTGGATGACGGTCGTGCGTAGGTGCCACCTGCAGCGACGGTCGCAATCTGGCACCACTATGAGCCCCGAATCTTTCACTCGATGCGGCCAGCTCCGACCGGGTACTCCCTGCAGCTGATACACGTGTACATTTTGGTCGTCGGGTTGGCTTTCGGCGGCCCAACTCTCGTCTTACTGGGGTACGATGCCCGGTTGGAGTTGTGTCGCGGTTGATCGGGTGTTTTGTGTCGATCGCTAGGCTGCAAGTGCGCAACATTTCGACGAATCTCACGACCAACGAAGTGTTTAACAGGGCCAAGTACTCGTACTTGAAAGACATGAACGACGAGTTCCGCAACCCTTTCGATCGAGGCGTTGGCGCCAACTGCCTGGCCTTTTGGCTCGACCGTGGCGACCACAAATGATGTGAAAGAGCGTCCAAGCGGTTGGAGTGCATCAAATTTCGTCGTGTTCATCACAGCTAGCAAACCCATCGACACGACTTTAAACTTGCAAACGAGCCAGGGCCAAAACTTGAGCATTTCTCCAGTCCTTTGACAATTGCTCCAGGTGCTCGTCGAAGTCTACGACGTCCACAGCGGCGTCGGCGATCGACGCAAGTTGAGATCGCTTCTCCAGCGACGCGACGAGCAGCTTTCCTTCGTCGTCGTCGTACGCGAGACGATTGTCCACGGGCACCCATCCTCGCTTGACGTCTTTTAGCCACAGGTTGGCGCTGGCAAGTGATTTGTTGTCCAGAACGAGTACGCAAGCACGAGAGGCGTTGGCTTCCACAGTACTTGCGATGCGCGCATGCACGGGTCCCAGCGAGGTATCGTCATCACGTGAGTTCGCCACGTAGAGACCAACGATCTTGAGCTTGAGCTTGGCTGCTTCGACTTCAATGGATGTGGAGGCATATTCCAGAAGAGGTGCCGTTGGCGCCTGATGGCACACTGGAAACGCCTTCACCACTTCAATCGTGTTACCGGAATCCCTTCCTACCAGAAGGCCTACCACAGAGAGATGCGGGTACTGCGCGGCATGCAAGCCCATCAAGAGCTGGGCCTCCTCGCTGACCCGGTATGCGGACATTGCTCCTGTTGAGATCTCGAGGACCTGCGGACACCGCGACGACTTCATTTTTGTATTAAAATTATTTTGGCCAATGAAACTGCTCAACTCCGTCTCCGCGAAGAAAAGAGTTTCTACCAATCACCAAGTACACACACTTTCTGGCCGTCACACTCGGATTTAAATGTTGTGTACAATATACTGTACTTGATTAAACTATGCCACGTGACGAAAAATATCTAGAAATTTGTATTGGATTCAATAGTAGCAATGCCTTGAAGGAAATATTGTACAATTTTATACACTACTTATTCGAGGAATTCGTAAAGTCTTAAAGCTAACCGATAAACGGGATTCAAATATACCAACGCGACGTCAAACGTCGATGAGTTGAATTTGACATTGAAAATGGACAAGGCACTAATTGTTTGGTCCTTTTTCATGGGTAAAGTCGTTTGCAGGTTGCTCCCATGAATTACCATCTATCACTCTTTGGAGAGACTTGAAAGTATAGGAAAGCTTACCAACAGGCAACTCATAAAACGCTGTTTTTATAGCATTCATAAGCTATATATTGTACGAGTGCACTTTTGATATTGCAGACATGGAATCGAATATAAAGTCCTAAATCTTAGACATCAATATCTGGGCTGTTTCGACACTGGTTCTCAACTTTTTCTGAATATTACGTCTAACAAGCATGTATGGGTATGGCGCCGTACACGTGTTTCACAACTCAGTTAACAACTGCGGTTAGCTCGACCAATCAGCGATTGTTCGAAAAAGCGTTCCAGTTGTGAAAATTACATCTTCCGAGCAAGATCAAAACCGGTTCAAACTCACCCAAAAAGACCCAAACGCAAATGAGGCAGAACGTCGATGACATTTGCTGTTGCATTACATGCCCTCGTTTTGCTCGCAAATGGCTCTCAATGTTCCTGTCAAATCTGCTCCTTCTGACATGCAAATGGCTGTTGCCTTCTTGAGATAGTCGCAAAATCGTCTTTAGTGTTTGTGCTTCACCAAAACGTCTTCCAGCGTCGATATGATTTCGTGTTCTGAAAGGCCCTCCTCTTGTAGCAAGAAATAAAGGCCGTCGCCAAAGGAAAAACTGTGTCTCGCAGTTGTTTCGTTCAACCTCGACCTTTTTCAACTCATTGATGACTGGTCGCGTGTTCAGGCCATGTTGGTATTCTTGTCATGCCTGGTTCACTGTACAAACTTGTCGTGACATTTTGAACTCGCCATGTGCAGCTTGAGAGTGAGTTGGGTCGCTTGCTGTGGCAGTGTCGTTGCAAATCCATTCACGTAGAAATGACGCGTTTGGCGATGTACGCTGGGTGGGGCTCAAGGTCGGACACAGCGATGCTGCCACTTGAATCAGCGTGTTTGCAATGTCTTGCCGAGTTAAAGTAAGAGCGCCTGACGAGGACTCTGCATCCGTGGTAAGTGCTCGGGTGACATCATCGAGACGGCTACTCACCGCGGCGATCTCTCGGTGAATATTCACGGTCTCGTTGCGCATTTCTTGAATGTTCTCGCTCACAATGCAGTGCAGTGCTTGATGCAGAAGCAGAGACTCCGTGATGGGGTGGTGTTGATGGTTGACAAAGGCTTTGTCTTGAAGTCGTGAATCATGAGTTCTTGGAAGACAGAATGAAAAGAGGATGGTTCTGGTACGTTTCCATTGACAGCAACAGAGCGGCGTCTTGAAGCACAATTGCTCGTATACGGGGTTTCGGGGTTTCACCAGTCAGCAAGTTGACGAAGCTCTTCCAGCAATTTCTGTTTTCTGGTGTCTAATTTGAAGCATGCTCTGGGACTCTACGAGTTTGGAAATACTTGGCGGAGAGGGTCTTCATGTGGCTTCAATAAACCTCGGGGCAAGTAGTAACTCTTACTTTCACGTCCAAATCCCACCAGAACTCGGATACAATCCCGAGGAACAACATGGTTCGCATAAGCGCCATTGCGACTTCGAGTTGCCCAATGACCTTGCTTGTCCACCGATTCACCCGTTGCACCAAAGTTTTCAGAAGTGGCGCCCATCTTCCTTCCAGCTTGTGTTTTGACAAGTTGTTCGTGTTGTCTATTGATAGCTTTGTACTACTCTGAACATTGCATTGGGGCACTTTGTTTTGCACCCTTCAAAACGTAGATGTCGTACCAAAGCTTTGGACCGACAGTTTCGCGGTTTGAGTCTTTGTGCATGAATTTTAGATAAAAAAACTTCTCCTGCTCAACGTATTCTTCTGAATTCAAAGAACTTGATGGTCGAGATGCGCACGCACCTGCAGGTAGAGTTCATTAGTATCGAGCCCTCGCATTGGATGGGTGCGTACCGAAAAGCACAAGCGTTCGAGGACCTGTACTTCTTGACTGCTGGAATGCGCTGCTGGGCGAAGAGGTCCAACACGACAACCCCACACACAATGCATACAATATGGTCCAGGAATGGTAGATCCAAGCCAAAACCCTCACAATTTGGACCAATATTAGGTCCAATTCGCGGTTTCGAAGGGAAAAAGAGCGCGATATTGACTCGAAATCGGCCCCAAGTGGTGGCAAAATCCGTGACAATACTACTGACGACACGGGTGACGATGCAGATGACGAAAACCGTGTCCAAGCAGGTGACCATTGCGAGTGACAAAATTTGGCAGGATGCAGATGACGATGCGGATGACGATATCCGTGACGATGACGATGACGAAATTTTCGACGACAATCGTGACAACAGTTGCGCATTGGTGGTTGGGAGGTCCAACACGACAACCCCACACACTTTGCACACAATCTGGGTCCAAATCTGGGAGGTCCAAGTCAAAAACCCCACGATTTGGACCCAATTTTGGTCCAAATCGCGGCTTCGAAGGGAAAAAGTGCGCGATTTTGACTCGAAATCGGCCCCAAGTGGTGGCAAAATCCGTGACAATACTACTGACGACACGGGTGACGATGCAGATGACGAAAACCGTGTCCAAGCAGGTGACCATTGCGAGTGACAAAATTTGGCAGGATGCAGATGACGATGCGGATGACGATATCCGTGACGATGACGATGACGAAATTTTCGACGACAATCGTGACAACAGTTGCGCATTGGCGGTTGGGAGGTCCAACACGACAACCCCACACACTTTGCACACAATCTGGGTCCAAATCTGGGAGGCCCAAGTCAAAAACCCCACCATTTGGGCCCAATTTTGGTCCAAATCGCGGCTTCGAAGGGAAAAAGTGCGCGATTTTGACTCGAAATCGGCCCCAAGTGGTGGCAAAATCCGTGACAATACTACTGACGACACGGGTGACGATGCAGATGACGAAAACCGTGTCCAAGCAGGTGACCATTGCGAGTGACAAAATTTGGCAGGATGCAGATGACGATGCGGATGACGATATCCGTGACGATGACGATGACGAAATTTTCGACGACAATCGTGACAACAGTTGCGCATTGGTGGTTGGGAGGTCCAACACGACAACCCCACACACTTTGCACACAATCTGGGTCCAAATCTGGGAGGTCCAAGTCAAAAACCCCACGATTTGGACCCAATTTTGGTCCAAATCGCGGCTTCGAAGGGAAAAAGTGCGCGATTTTGACTCGAAATCGGCCCCAAGTGGTGGCAAAATCCGTGACAATACTACTGACGACACGGGTGACGATGCAGATGACGAAAACCGTGTCCAAGCAGGTGACCATTGTGTGCGAAGTACTCAGCTAGAACTGGCTAGCTTATGTGTATTGAATGCATTCTTACCTGTGTTGTGTTGTTTGGAACTTAGCGAATATATCGTCGATCCCAATATTATGGGAACTTGACATATTTATTGTGCATCCCAACAACAATTGACTTTAGCGGGGATCGAATCCTGTACCTTGTACAGTACATCGATCCGGGTACAGTACAGCTTAAGCTTGATAGGGCAGTTACGGAAGATGGTTATCTTGCCAAAAACGGCACACCTCATCTTCCTTGGACAACAGACGGTTAATGATTTGGTCGAGAGTCGGAGACACGGCTGCGCAATATTTCCACCGTCGTCGGGAAGGCTTCCTTGACGCTGGTCAGCAGGATTCGTCCGAGCATTTCGTCATCCACACGAGATCCATAAGGAGCACCTTCTGTTGGAGGCTGCGCAGGTCCGTGATATGCTTCTGCATGGACGAGCCAGGGGTGTAGACCTTCGTGTGCAACTTGTGGATGATGTGGGACACATCAGCATACGTTCGGGCTTCGTAACGCTTCACAAGCAGGTCCCACACTTCCTTGAACGTTGTCACATGAGAAACGTAGGCCAGGTTGTCGTCGTCGAGGGAGTTGACGAGGATATCGAAGGCCTTGTCTTCCTTGGAGTCGTAGTCGTCGTCATCCTCGGCTTCCTCGCCCG